ACGATTCTGGTTATTCCGTACGATTCTGTCTACTCTGTGACTTGAAAGCTTTATGATATCTGTTCTGAACTCCGATTCGACATGACTTCAGTTTTCTGTATTAGTTGTTGAATTTATGACTTGAACAAGTATCTGTTCTATGATTTTCGTACGGCTATTTCTGATGTATTTCTGATGATTGGATTGGTGAGTGATGTCTGCTGAGCTGTTAGCTCATTCTTATTTTTTCTACGTGGTTTTTCAGGTTTTGGGAAAGGGAATGAGGTCTTGGACTAGACGTTCTGAGTCTGATCTGTGATTAGGTATTTTGTACTTTTGATTTTTATACAGCCATGGCTTATCTGTTCTGTTCTTTCTGTCTGTAAGCAATGTACTGTATCTGTATATGATTATTTTGACGAAAGAAAAGATAGATAAATTACTCTGCATTTGGATGATTATAGTAGCTCTGTTCTTTCTGGCTATGTAATTTTGGAAGAAAGTTCTGAAGCAAATTCCAAAACTAGATCCTGTATTTTCGAAAGTTCCGTCGGGGCCCGATGCGAGCGGAATTCGTCCGGTCGGGTTGGGTCGTGACACATGACCTGTAAATAGGAAGAGATCGGGGTAAATGGAGAATGGTTGGATGGACGGCCGATATTGAACCCCTTGACCGTGTACCGTTCATCAGAAATTTGAAGTCTTAATGATATTGGAATTTAGCGATATTGGGCTTGTTGGTTGTCTCGTCGAACCACTCGATTCGACTATAAGCAGTCAAATTTGGTAGAAATGAAATATATGAGTTGTAGAAAGAAATATAAGTGGTATCTTTGATATTAAAATAATATAGGGTGGTATGCATGTAATATTAAAATTTTTGGTGTTAGATATGCAAATAAGATATTATAAAGTGACATGTTGTAAATTTCCCTTTAAAAAAATGCAATTATCTACTTTATTTGATGCCATTCAAACCAACAATAATTTGATGCCATGGGACTTAATCCTATCTTTAGAATCAAATCTAGTTGGATGGTTAATTTTTCTGAATGATAAATTCAATGGCCATAAAAATAAATTGAAAAAATGGATGATATTGCTTATGAGCTAAAATGTATCTCGAATTTTATCTTGATAAATGTATATTTTCCTCATCGGCGCTTGAGTATAAGTCTCGTGATGAGTAAAATTTATCTTGTAAATATGTATATTAACATCAAGTCACAATATTTAAAGGAAAAGACCGTTGCCTCACCATTATTTATAGGTCAATTAGTCTTTAACTAACATCAGTGAATAACCAATCTTTTCTTATTTCCTCTCCCCCCACAAACATATTATTATCATAATACTATATATAATAATAATAATAATAATAATAATCAACTATTACTCAATCACATACCCACATTCATTTTTAATATATTATAATAAATAAAACATAATTGGTCTTAATTCAGAAGTATCAAAATGTCTTAACGATAGAAAATAGCATAATGATTCCTTACAATGAGACCAACAAATCTCTCAATATGATCGATTGACGAAAATCCCTATACGGCTTCCAAATCCTAGATTTTGTTTCTCTCTCATTGCTTTCTCTCTTATTTTCCCTAATTCCTTCTGTCTGTTAGCCGATTTTAGGAATTAGGAATGGATTTTAATAAAATTATATCAAGTGGCTTATGATATTTATGAATAAATAAATAATATAATAATATAATTTTATAGCTTAATCAACTTTTAGTATAAAATTTATATAATTTTTTTTTGTTTCAAAAATTATAAAATAATATCTATAAAATAGCCCAATTTATTTAAAACTTTTTGGTGAAATATGTTTGCAAAACAAACATCTAACCGTCCCAAAAATCCCTTTTGTACTGATAGATTTAATTTCTTAAAGATTTGCACAAATACCAAAAAAAAAAGAAAAAATCAATGTAAATAAAGCACAATAATATCTATATTATGTCGAAAACGGTTTTTGATTTGGACATATAACAATCTTTGAAAAAGAAAATTTAATTGGATTAAAATATGAGTTATCATGGCAAAGCACCCGAACCCAAGCAACAATCATGGGTAGGACCCCCACATAACCTAACGAACACGACAAACTAAGTTGAGATTCGTGACAACAATATAATCCAATTAATCGACACATCATATTCCACACAGACTAACACTCACTCATTCAAAAGAAGTGCCCATGACAATGCGTATTACCTCTCATGACATCAGATACCTCCCAATAGACTAGGCTGTTGTGACATAGCCAAATCACATGCCTCTCAAATTGATTATGAGTTGCTCTACTTCACCCAATGCCCCAAATTCAATTCCAAGACGTGTTGTTTACTATTGTTGATCATTGATTAGATGCCCTCTAAGGTCTAACGGGTGGCTACAAGGCCCCATTACAAAACTGATAGATGGAGATGCTTCTTCTATTATCACATATTTTATTGGTGTGGGACTTCATCTGAAAGTGAAGGTGGATGGCAATGATGATATTGGGCCCCAGGGGCGGAACCCCTCTTTGGTAATTGCCGCCGCTCAAAAAAAAAATTTTTTTTATTATGCACTTATTTAGAATATTTTTAGTATTTATTACAAGGGCTTTAAGCAATTTGCCACCCCCCCTAAAAATGTTAAATACTATGATCTTTAGGCAATTGCCCCTAATATAATTAAATACATTGCGTAGATGTATTATTGTTAGGGAATGATGAACCAAATACAAAGAGAAATAGTAAATCAAAATTTGTTCCGGGGGCAACGACCCCCGCAGGGGCGCTGCCCCTTGACCCTGCGACCTGACCGGGCAGGTCGAACCCCGCCAGGCCGGCCTTCTACCATGCAATCTTCCACCCACCGTTGTGGCAAACACAAATGTAAGAACTAAGAAGAAAGGCATTGACAACACAATTTAGGGTTGATCCATTCAAGGATGAAGATTTAGGCTTCGTTTGGGACTGCTTTCTTTCTCCTTCTTAAAGTACAAATATTTTTTTTTTTAAATGTTTGTACTAGAAAATTGTTTTAAGAAGTAGAAAAAAAGCCGTTCCAAATGAAGCCTTAATGCTACTTTAGCATTGGTTGGCCTTTCAAAAGAAGCATAATTTATTTGAAGTCTATATTAACTTCCAACTTTAATTTCAACATTTTATATATTCTAGTTCTTATAATCCTAAACTTTACCAGTTATCACTCTCATAAAAAAATTACTTGATAAAATATGAGAGTTAATAAAGTCATAAAGCACAGAAGTCATAAAAGCAAAAATCTTAAAGCAAGACCAAAGTAGCAAAAGGATGTGAAAATAAAGATCCCTATGACTTTATTTCAATGCTGGGAAAGGAAAATGGCAAAGCACCAAGCAAATCTTGAACTAAACCTTTCAGTAATCAACTAAACCACAACCATGATGTAGTGGTAGTAGTTGCGAAAAAGAAAGGTGAATCTATTAGATCTAGTGGACAAAGAAACACTTAATTTGCAGTTAGAACAAATGGAAAGGTTGCATAGAATGCTCTGTACATACAAAGCCAGAATCTCGAGTGATTGCAGGGAAAGCCTTTAGTTTTCCATCTGACAACCCAATAGAGCCTTTAAAAAGGCAGGCTTTTTAGGCATGTCTTCCTTTTTTGTAGAGAAAAAAAGAAAGTTTTTTTATGGCTAAGTTGCAGCAATTTCTTTACATCGGTGCTGCAAAAGGCTATCCCCATCCATCTCTATTAATTATGGATTCTTTGACAAACAGTAGGCATTCTTAAAGAGAAGACAATTGAGGTATTCTTATTTATTTTAAATGTATTTAAGCTCACGATAGTATAAAATCAAAAACAAGAGGACAACTTGAATGCTTTTTATCCTTCACTTTCGTCCCTTTTGAGGGCAGTTTACTAGTCGTTTTTCGAATTTAAAAAGGGCTCTAACACATTCCCATGGACAAAACCTTTTGTCTTTAATGCTAAGTCATCTAGCTTATTGTTTCTACTGTCTACTATTTCTAAGCATGCTGTCCCATTACACGCGACTCAAATATTTTTACCTGCTTTTTTCCCTACCAGTATGGTTACTTCGGTGCATATTTATGTATAAAGTGAGAGATTATTCTGTGCGGACACCTGGCACAGCTTATCATTCAGAGGCGAATCAGGTGCATCCACGTCCAGTATTGAGCTCGGTACGAGCAGTACCAAGCTACGGTACTGAGTAGAGGGTGACGTGGCTCATTTTCAATAAGTTCTAGTCTTCTAGATGACGTTTGGCATCCACACAGAATAATTCATCATATAAAGTCTTGCAGCCAGCTGAAAGTTTAAAAGAAAGCCTTCAATATTGTTAGTTAAACATTTTTCCTCAAAAGTCTTTTTTTTTAAAAAGTTAACTAATAGAGCTGATTGTGAAAATTTCACTCTCTGCAAGTACAATTTTTAAAATTATAAAAAAAATTATAATCAAGCAAATCTATGGGAACAATCTATAAAATAAAATAATGAAAAATATTTCCAAATTCATAACACTTCGCCATTTGTGCTTTGAGCACTGCTGCATTGCTAAGTATATTGATTTTTTTACCCACCTGGAGGCTAATATTTAATGTAATAATTCCACGAATTGATTCCATAATCATCAAAATAGATTCCCAGCCTCTAATAAAGAAGAGAAGCCTTACAGAACTCTAATAACTGATCTTGCAAAGGACAAAAAATAAATAAATGTTTGCAAGCCACTGCACATGCTAAGATTACCTCCTTTGGCAATAAAAATATTTGATTTCTTTGAAGATTTTCATGAACAGAATATTGGCACTACAAACTATTTTCTCACAATTGTTTATCTTATTAAACTATCAAAGCTTCTCTGTTAGCCACTTTGACATAAGCAAATTAATCCAAATTATATTAGCTCATAGGTCCACGAAAAGCACATTTAATGTTTTTCTGACTTTGCTTGAAAGGACCTCTGTGTGATTATTTTATCATATATCAAAATCAAATACGATAGTTGACACTTCCTCCAATAAGCCATGGTTGGTCTTATAAGACCACAATTGGTGGCAGCTGAACTCCTTCAACAGCTGGGTCTTCTTGTAGAGGACATTTTCTGATGTGATGAGCGCAAGAGAAACTTGAATATCCTTGAAGTTCAGAGACTCTCTCTGACATTCAGGCTCTGGTAAGTTCTCTGATTTATTTATATCAAAAAATGAATATGATTTTAGTTGAAATTAGCTTTTTTTTGGCTGCAGAATGGATTTTGAGTCCAGCCATCAAGTTTTTAAGATGCAGGAGTTGAGAAGCCAGAGATTTCAACTAAAAGCCATGGAAGCAAAGCAGCTGGCATATTCAAGGCATAAGAGATCTAAGAGGTAGGCTTCTGTCAGTAAGAGAAGGCAGATCTGTTAAGTCTTTTGATCTGTGGAGAGCAGAGGTTGAAAAGTGATCCAATTGCTTTACATGGAGAAATATTCATGATATATCTTGCCTTGCTCTTTCATTCTTTATCTAATATGATTCTATACTTTGATAGTGAAATTTATAATAGAGGCAAGAGTGATCTATTGGAATCTCCATCCACATCTTGTAAACTGAAAGAGGTAAGCACTTTATTTTATCATAGTTTTTCATTCTTTTTAAGCGCTGCGTAGCTTGGATCTAATTACTGCAACTGTACTCTTTTAAGTGAATTAGCTTAAGAAAAGGCTTGCTCTGCTTCCAACTGATGAGCCTTTAGAAGCTTAGTGCTTCAGTTCTTTGCATTTTTTTGTGAGGAAAGAAGTTACTGTGCAACGCAATTAATAGACTGAGCTGTGACTCTTCTGATTTCAAGGATATGGAGAAACGAGAGTATCACATTGATTTGGAGAAGAAGCTGCCTGATACTAACGTTGAAGGCCCTTTGAAGCAAGAGGTACTTAATTAAAATTTAGTAAATCTTGAAGGAATTAAATATTTACTAAATATTTTTAAATTTAGAGTTTAAATTAAAGATCTCTTAGATCCTTAGATCCTCTAATTTTGCGATTTATTAAATTATTAATTTAATATTTAGCTCAAAATTGGGGGAAAATATGATTTAAAATTTATGGACCAGTACTATTTTGAAAGAAAATTTTATTTTGGAAATCTTCCTTCATTTTTTTTTTCACTTTTTATTTCTTGCTGCCAGTCCAATTTATTGTATTAAAAATTAATTTTTTTTATTTTTCAGCTTTTTTTTTTTGCATCTCTCCTCAAATAAAATTGAAAAAAGAGAAAATATCTTTTTTTGGGGTAAAAAAATATGGCTTTTCATTTGATTGACAATGGAAATGAGCCCTGTCTATCAAGGCATGTAGTAGTTGCTGCTATAAGCGAATAGCCTTTTGTCTTCTTATGTAGCTATCGAATACCTCAGGAAGAGGCTGTTTTTCTAAAATTATAAATTGTTCATCATTTTTAGAAAAAAAAATCTTATTTTGAAATATACATTCTTTTTTATTTTGAATATCTTTCTTACCTTTATGTGGCCTTACAGGAAGAATTTGAAGGAAAACAGAGAGATAGTTAATTTATATTTTTGTTCTTCGATGATCAATTGTACGGTGTACTGATTTGTTGTAAAAAAAATTGAAGTCCTAGTGGCAAGGGAACAAGGAAATGGTTAATGCAATTAATATAATAATAATAATAATAATATCATAAATTGATGCTATTAGTGATAGATTATTTGAGTGTTTATGAATAAATGACGAATTATTTATTAATTATTGATACGATTATAATTAAACTAAATTATCATGAGTAAATAATAGAATAATTAGTTAAACAAATTAGAGTAAAATGATGATTCAAAATAAATTAGGTTATTAGTTAAATCTTACATTCATTAAAATCCTTACTTCTAGATAAACAAATAATATCTAGATTTAGTTAGATTTAACAATTATCTAGTTTATAGGACTTAACAGCCTAGGATGTGCATTCAAGTATTTATTAAATATTGCTTGCGGCCAAACAATCCCTTAGGCCATCTCCTACCGACAAAACTCGTTTTACACTCCAAAATGTAGCAACTTATCTCCAACCGAAACTCAATTTCTTAACAAGAAAAAAATGTGTATATTCTTTCTCAATCGAATTTTTTGATAAAAAAACAAAATGCACCGGTAAACAGTGCAATGACAAAATTGGGGTCGCACTATTCACTTCGCGATTTTGTGGCGCGATTTGGAGTTCGGTTGGAGCTACCGGTGGACTGCATACACACGTAAAGTGCTTGGTTGGAGATGGCCTTAGAGATTGGCCCTTATGGCTCATTTGGTTGTAAGTATTTATGAATGTTTGGTATTTCAAATGCGCTATAAATTAAATACATTTTAATTTCTTTTGGTTGTAAAATAAATTCTCATAATCCTTTTCTTTGTGTTTGATTGGTTGAAAAATTCTTTGTTGATTTTAGTTTAGAGCATAGTGGGATGATATTTGGGCATTGTGTACATGAGGATAGTGGGAACAATGAGGATGACAAGAATGGTGGCCATGGACATTGGTCAAGGTTTTTAACACATGATCGGACTCGAGGATGACATGATTGAGTTTCCATAAGGGATGCTTGAGTGAGGTTCCATGAGAGATGATTGGTGAGGTTTCGTGAGCAGTTACGCGAGGGAATATCGAGAGCATGTTCTACAATAGATGGTCATGAGCAAGTACGCTAGGGACGATGTGTGGTTTTGCGAGGGTTTGTGGGGGTTTATGGCGTGTGTTTTGAATAGATGAGATTTGGGCTACTTCAAAATGCATTGAAGATGATCTAGTGGTTATATTATAGTCCTTAAAAAATCAATATGCACTTGTTTTAAACTCAACCAAATATCTTAAAAGGTTAAACCCTTGCATTTCAAATGAACCCTTGCATTTCAAATGCGATGCTCTCTTAATACGTTCAACCAAACAACTTCTCGCTCGATGATTGATCGTTTGAAATTAGTTCGATTTAATTTAAAATATGCTTAATACAAATGTATATGAATATGTGTGATGTGTGTTTTGCACCATCCATGTAATGGCGCATGCTTACGCAAATTCACATATAAATACCTACACACATACATAGGTTAAATATGGATAGCTTGAAATTGTCGTCAAGCCTGATTTGGAAAAACTCAATTCGTGTCAAGCTAGGTTGAATACATTTGAAGGGTTAATTTAGAATGTCTTTTTATAAACTCTACTATTTTCATTTAAGCATTTAGAAACTAAATATTTTAAATTTAGAGTCTTGCTTCAAAATTGTAACAACTCAAACTCTTAACTATCGAGAAATTATCCGCTTTGGCCAAGAGCCTCACTGTTTTGTCCTGTTGGTTTAACTTCCCAGTAGGTCACTCATCCCAGAATTGCTCCGGGATTAGCATGCTTAACAATGGAGTTTCATAATGAAATTTCAAATATTACACCAAAAGGCTCCTCAATGTTTAAGAGTTTAACTTCTTTTACTTAAGGGGTTTCATAATTTCTCCCACTTAATTAACTGATGCCATCGTCAAATCTTTATCCCATAATCATCCACCAAATATATAGGATTCTAGAGGTGACTCCCGCCAAATCTTAAAGTAATTAAAGCCCAATATACCCCAAATCTCGTGAATCATTTGAATCCCAACTCTTTGTTTCATTTCATATGTTGGACCATCCTTTTTATGCAACTAAATTCACCTTGCAACAGCTAATTTTTATAGCTAAAACTGATGTGGATATGAATTCTAAATATGAACTAGTATAGTAGCTCTTGATGGTATGATTTATGAACTTCCATGTTTTGATCAATAATTGCAGCGTTTGTCAAGCACAAAAAGCTGCATCATGTAAATGCGAACTAATGTATATATATTTACTTTTTACAGATTATGCAACTTGAGAAACGGCTCAAGGATCAACTGGAAGCACACCTTACGCTTGAGAAAGCATTGGGCTATAGAAAAGAAGTAATCGATTATTCCAATGTCAGCTTCATGCCAAAGGTTGCTTTATATTGTGTTCTGTTAGAAATCTTCTCCGTTTTTTCAACATCAGATTTTGATCTTCTAACGTTGTTCTTTGATAATGTTCTAACCTCATTTTGATTAATATTTCTCCAACCTTCTTATTTATCAGCCAGCCAAGGAGTTGATAAGAGAGATTGCAGTGTTAGAATTAGAAGTCATGCACTTGGAGCAGCATCTGCTATCACTCTATCGAAAAGCTTTCGATCAGCAACTCCCAGCTTCATCTCCTCATGTTTCCAAAGCTAAATCCAAACAGCCAATTAGCTGCCAAAGAAAGCTATTTCATGAGCTTCCAGGGCCTGAAATCTCATCACTAAGTGGTCATCCATTAGTTCACTCTACTAGAATTCTACCATCTCAAATCTCAGCTTGCAAATTAACGGATGAATCCTACTGTCAAAACATTTCAGACCGCAATGTTCATCGCTGCCATTCTGCACTCAATCAGCGCGCAGTTTATTCATCTCGAATTTCTCCTTCAGAAGCAGCCCTGGCTAGAGCTCTTCAAGACTGTCATTCTCAGCCATTGTCATTCCTCACAGTAATAAATTTTAATACAGCAGTACATAACAAATTCAATTTACATTTTCTGAACCTCTCATCTTAATTCTATTGTTATGAAATCAGGATTGGCATGATTCAAACTCCGGGTTGATAAGCCTAGCAGAATATCTTGGTACCGGTGTAGCTGAATATACTCCTGAGACAGCCAACAAAATTTCTGAAGATATGGTTAGGTGTATGGGTGCTATATACATCAAACTTTCAGATCCTCCTCTACTGAATCCTGGCCCATCATCATCTCCTACTTCTTCATTTTCTTCTCTGAGTGCTATTTCTCCTCAGTGTACTGGAGATATCTGGAGTCCTGGGTGCAGAAATGAACCAATTCTCGATACGCGACTTGTAAATCCTTTTTGCATAGAGGGTTTGAAAGAGTTTAGTGGTCCTTACAATGCCATGGTGGAAGTGTCCTCAATTAGAAATGACAATCGGCGGTTGAAGATTGTTGAATACTTGCTCAATGCTTACAAGTAAAATAATTTGTTCCAATCTGCTAATTTGAGAATTTATATTAACAAATTTTTAATTTGGTTATGATAAATTGTCCAATTTGTTTCAGATCTCTTGCTCATAAGTTAGCTACTGTTAATGTAAAGAGGATGAAGAATGATGAAAAGCTGCCCTTTTGGGTCAACTTACACAATGCTTTGATAATGCATGTAAATATTTTCCTTGCACCTATTGGTAGAGGGTATATTATCTTCATGTTAAGATTCCTTGAAGATATATTAGCTATTTTTTGTTTTTCCTCAGGCTTATTTGGTGCATGGAGTTCCTCAAACTAGTATGAAAAGGACTTCATTGCTCATCAAGGTAGACTGTCTGGTGGTTTAACATTTTTAATGAAATAGTATAATGTTAAGCTGCTAACATGTTAATTTGCTTCAACCTCTACTTTATTAATTTAGGCCACATGCACAGTAGGGGGTCATTCCATCAATGCCAACATGATACAAAGTTCATTTCTAGCGTGCCGCACGCATTGGTCAGGCCAGGTTCGATTCATTTTCTTATTTATTATGTGAAATGAAATTCTTAAACAGATTATTATGATGCTTGTCTATATCCGAAGCTTGTTTTAGCTCGAGATTGAATTGAATGACTTTTGAGTTGATCTCGAGCCTATCAAACCGTATGCAACCTTAATGGCCCATGAAAATCGATAACTAGAGACCGCCTAGTGGTGTCCTACTTCTTGTGGAAGCAGTTTTAAGCTTCGTTTAGGACGGCTTTCTTGCTGCTTTTTAAAACATCTTTTTAGTACAAAAATTTAGTGCTGCTTTAAGAATCAGTAAGAAAGTCATCCCAAATGAAGCCTTAGAAGGAAAAAATGATTTGATCAAGAAGGCTAGTAGGATTTGCCAAATAATCGAATTACATTCAACATAATAGTTGCAATAGAAATCATCTAGAATCTTAGTTTTCTCTAAGTTTGTTGAGCCAAATTTTATCTTAGCATTGTTTCAAGCACCCAACTTCTTGTACTTAGGCTTAATTTTCTTCTATGTTTGCAGTGGTTTAGAACATTTTTGCTTCCAGTGATGAAATTCAAGTCTAGAGAGGAATGGAAAAGGCTTTATGCCATTGAGAAACAGGAGCCTCTTCTACATTTTTCGTTATGTTCAGGAAGCCATTCTGATCCTGCAGTAAGCTTTGATGCTCATTCTAATCCATGGCAAATTATTAGGTCCGGACACCAGACAGAGAATCATCCAGATTTCTCTCTATCTATAGTAAAAGAGCAGTCAAAGCGCAGTTGCTACAGTAACTGCATTTTGACTACACTCTTACTATAGACAGATAGAAATCCAAATGATTCTCTCTGTCAGCCTGTCAGGTGTCCGAACCTAATCATTTATCCTAATCCATATCTCAATTCAAATAAAATTGTTGCAAACTTTTTTTCATGCAGCTCTATTTCCATCTTTACTTGGCTATTTCAGGTGAGAATATACACTGCGAAGAACTGGCACCAGCAGCTAGAAACAGCGAAAGAAGAGTACATTCGAGCGACGGTTGGCATTCAGAAAGAGCAGAAGGTTTTTCTGCCGAAGTTGATAGAGGCTTATGCAAAAGATGGTTGTATGAGTCCTCAGAAGGTTGTTGATATGATCCAACATTATCTTCCCGAGACTCTTTGCATGGCTATCAAGAGATGCCAGAGAGGAAGATCTCATAAGATCATTGAGTGGGTTCCTCATAACTCCAATTTTCGTTACTTGTTATCAAAAGAAGTTGCAAATCCTCAGATAGCTTGACTAATTTTTATGAGCCATATTATATCCTTTTTTTTATTTTCTCTTTTCAATTCTAGTTTTGATGTAAAAAGGACTTCTCGAAAGCTGAATATCTTTGTATATAAAATCTATGCAAATTGTTGTATATTAAGGTAAAGATTCAGGGAAATAATGAGTTTTATAAGTTTTGTGGTGAATTGAATGATAGGTAAGTTTTATTATGAAGAAGTGAATTAGAGCAAGGTTAGCCACTAACATCCTATGCAAGACTTGCTAATTCTCGAATCTCACCTCTTATAATAATAGCAACCAAGTCGGATGCCACCACCTTATGAATTTCAACATCCCCTAATGATCATCATCCAACGTTAGTCAACATTTAATGTCTGTAAAACCATTTTTTATGCCATCTTTATGGTTGCAAGGTGTAATAGTCTGTATTTTGATCAAGTCAGATAAATTTTTTTAAGAGTCATTATAAGTTTAAATTATTAACCGTCTCCATCATAACATATGTATTATAGTTCTTTATTCACACTTTTTTTTTCATAATTTTGTAATATTGGTGTAAATTTTTAAGAAATTGAAATATCTCGATACAAGTGGGATTTTGGGACCGTCATGTGTTTATTTATCCCTTACTTAGTATAGAGCTACCTACCAATTAGAGGTCATAAGCCGTTGAAATTTACAATCAAGATGAGTCTCCTCCCACTCCAATATACGATACAACACAAAGCTAAATCCACATGAGTATCAATCATATATTCAATATATCATATATCAAAATATAACATAATGTAAGAACCACTTAAACATTTTTTTTAGGATTCTATTATACACCCTAAGTTATTTTTCATGATAACCTCAAATATTAATACTAAATCAAGATGATTATATTTTAAATATAAAACTAATACAATACTAAATAAAATTTATTGTAATCTAAAATGGATCAGAAGAATTCAAATCTCAAACTCATATATACAATAGCTAAAGGCAATCCTTATAATTTTACTATTACCATTTATAAAGGTTCCTAAATTTTGATCACCATGAAAATATAAGAATTACTAATTATTAGCAAGAGAAAATAAAGCTAGGATTTACACCCTATCTAAATGAACAATAGGAAGAAGAAGAACTTCATGAGACATCATCATAATTCCCTCTTCAACAATTAATTAAATCATCCTCTTGCAAACTATCAAGCAACCACTTCTTTCATATTTCTAACCCTAAAAATGAGAAAATAATGGTGTTGTAAGAAGAAATGGAAATAAGAGAAGAAAGGGTCAATACGCGCTTAACTTCATGACTTCATGGACTTCTTCATCTATATCATCGAAGCCATGAAAACACAACCACTGAATGACCAAACAACACTCATGCCCACTTCTTTCTCTTGTTCGCACATCATACACCATAGGAGGACGATGCCGGTCACCACTCCTTCAATTTCCTGCTCGCACAATGAATCGTCACATCTTCTTGAACACTCTCCTACTCTCTCGCAATTCCCTCCGATTTAAAGGTTTCGATTAGGGATTATAAAAATGTGTAAGGTGGCAGTGCTTAGAGTCGAGTTGGAAGAAGTAGATGTGAACCGATCTGGTCCGATCCAAACAATAAAAAAATAAAAATGGGGTTATTACACTTATTTTGATGGTTTCACTTTCCCTTCTTCCTATTAAGAGAATGAATAAGTCAACTTTCGAGGTCTCCACTGCTATCATCCAATAGCTACTACTAAATAATTCTCAACGTCTATTTACAAAACTAATGCCCTCTTACAACTATTTTTCAAATTCTCAACAATATATACAAATTCATAATAAAAAGAAAAACTCGACTCCTATTTTTTGCTTTTTTTTTAATTCCTAATGTTTGATCATAGCATGCTTAAATACATGAATTTAATAGCTAAAAAAAGTTAATTATGCAAATAAATAAAATTTGAATGTTATTTATGTTTGTAACATTTTTATTTTAATAACTTATTTTATATTTAGATTTTTTTTGAAAATATTTAGATCAATTAAAATTCAAATAAACATAACATACATAAAATTAAAACTTAAAAATATTTTAATTGATAGCTAAAAGCCTAAAACTCACAGCCCATACTAAGTTGAGCTGAGTTTTTACATTTCCGAATATAAAGAATAAGTGGCCTCACCTTAGTCCCACCGCCACCGAAACTGCTTCCCAGCCTATCCTCTCTCAGTGCTGTTCCCTGCGCAGAGAGAGAGGGGGAGAGAGAGAGGGGATGGACGGAGATGAGAAGATTGGATTAATGCTGGGTCGCGCATCGCGGCTACGCCTCAAGATAACCGACGCAATTGACATCAGCGGTGCCAAAGGAATTGGAAGGGAGTGTGATGCAGAGGAGAGTCTCTTTGGCATCGGAGAAGCCATGGAGTCCCTGGAGAAACAACTTGCTTCCTTGCAGGTATCTTCCTTTTCCCACCGCTCTATCACGCAAATAGTGCTCAGGGGAATGACTTCCGATTGATAGTGACGCGTTAGCACGCCGTTAGGTCTATGGTTTTGCAGAAATGTTGAAGTTTAGTTCGAATTTCGCTGATTTTATCAACTCATATTTCCATGAACTGTGCAGTCGACTGAACTAAACCTTACGTGTCTGTTTAGGAGAATTTGAGGATGTCCTATTTCATTTATCATTGTTTCTTGATTTTCTTCACTTTGATTTGATTACAGAGTTATCAACTGTTTAAAACCCCATGGCTCTCATGGTTAATTTTGTATCTTACCCATTTGTTGATCCTCTTGTGGATTAGTGTAAACTCTCATCTATTTGTTGATCCTTGAAATTAACTTGAAGATACTTCTCCTGGAGATTCTCTTTCATTTCATCGGACTAAATATAGGATCATGCACAAATATTTAGCTGTCTTGTGACATTGCCCAACCATCTTCATCATTATAAAACTAACTGTACTTCTATGTTCTATCCAGCACACTTGTCGATCCGTGTAGTGGTTAATGCCAGAAAACTAATGAATGCAACCTTTTGGGGTCTAACCAACCTTCAACTGAGGGAACCTCGTATTCTTAGTAATGCTATCGTCCCGATCACATGCATAATTCCTAAGATGATCAACGTAGTCCTAAGGGGGAATTTACTCTAAAATTTTATGCACCGTAGATGCATGCAGTCAGGATTAATTTTGCTAAAAGATGAATAACAATTAGACATAATTTTTCTAAGAATGAGTCTTGTAATTAAGTATATTTATATTATGCTTATTGATAAAGAATTTCTTATAAACGTTTCATGTTATAGCCAGTAAGTTTCATTGTACATTAGTAAATCATTTCATGAATAGAAACTTTCGATATATGTCACATGCTAAACAAAAACTAGAAATATTTTTTGATATATAAACAGAAACAATAAATAAAATATTTAACCTGTTTTAAATTCATAATGATTTCATTTATTGATTTAGTAAAGGTCTATTTGGTTTGCTGAAAAGGAATGCAAAGTGAAAGTAATGCATGATTTTACTTTTTTTCTTGTTTGGTTGGATGAAAAAAAGAATGCAAAATAACATGCAGATGTATTTGAAATTCACAATTTAATTTATTCTCAATGTATTTTGAGTTTACCGCCCTAGATGGCTAAATTCCAAATGCATCGAGCACGTGAAGCTTTGCCCTACCACTAGTGCAATTGTTCGCCACATGCTGCCACCACCTCTATTGTCGTCTTCTAAATTGCCTCGTTTACCAAACACTATTGTTGCCACTTTACATTGAATTCTTTTTACTATGAACCAAACAGAAAAAAAAAAAAATGTTTTGCTTTTTTTTCATGCTCAACCAAATAACTCTTTATTTTACACTGCATTTAGAATACATTGAATTCTAAATAATTGAAATGAAATGACCCCTAAGTACATGACAAACTCTCCCAACTTTGTACAATATATATGAAACAATCTAATTTTATTATTAAAACATTACAAAAAAAACATCACATGGAATTATTTTATGAGACATATCTTTTAAGCCAATTTCTCATCATTTCTATAAAATTTAAAAAATATTAAATTAATATATATTAGGAAGGAATATATGCAAAAAAAAATAACACTACTTGTTGATGATTTTTTTGTTACTATTATTCCCCCTGGTTTTCCATCTTTAATATTTTCTGATTTTGATGTTGGAACTTTTGATAGTTATAAAGCCATGCTTAGGTTAGATATATGTCTACCTTTTGAGTTTTGATGGTCATGCTGTTACTCATGCTATTCTTCTCTTTGTGATCATATATTTGTGTTCGCCAATGCTACAATCAATTTCCTTAATGTAAACGTCATCTATGGTTTAAACTCAATCCAATATCAATATGTTATTCGAAATTTAAATTGTTTAGTGGATAAAAATTTTAAGCTGGTGTTTTCTCGTCAATGTGTTAATAAAAAAAATATTTCTCCACTCTTTCATATTTACTCGAATCCAAGCAAGCTGTAATAACTCCGATGATTTTGACATTTTGGATTAGCAGGTGTTTGAATGCAGCTTGTTTCCCTCCACATATGAAGACAATACTTGAAACACTTTATGTTATATTGATCCTATGTATTTTTCTTTCCTTTTTATGATGGTAAAATTTCATTGCTTTAAAAAATGAAGAAAACTGTTCGCTCCACTTGCTCTCCTTCTTCTATATGCATCTATACCTATATCTCCACCTATACATGTCCTTATCCACTATTTGGAACTTTTTTTACTTTCATTAATGTGTTTTACTCTTTAATATCCTAATAATCAATATTAGATATTTGTTTAAACTACAACATAGATCTAAGTAACGGAAGATAAAAAGGTCAAAATCGATAAATTAGATGATTTGGACTTCGTTTATTGCAAGATGCAAATGAAGTCTACCTCTGATGTGAAACTACTAGGAGTTACGATTAGAAATTAGAAAGAAAGTTGGTTAAAGTATTGCTCATTTAAATTTAATGCTAGCACATAAAAGTGAGTTAAGAATTTTGGAATTTTTAACTTGCTTAGGCCAAAGACGTGCAATAGAACATAATTGAGACAATTCTTTCAAAGTTCAAGGTAATTTAAATGCAAAGTACAATTAACAAAAATCCAACGCTTAACAATGAGAGGTTCACCTCAAGGGCCATCTCACTCAATTATTTGGAGGCTTTTAGAGGAGAAAGATGACCCATATGATGAAGGATATTACCACTAGAGAGGAGGTGCCGAAGAACTTCGTTGGTGGAGAGGTAGCCGGTGGAGATGGAGGTAGTGGGTGGCCGACGATGCTCCAATCATAGTTTGAAAGTTGGCGGTCGATGACGCTTGCAAGAGTAGGGAAAACTCGCTCCAAATAATCTCCAATGGTGGTGTCGTCTTCAAATCCCACGTCGAAAAATGGAGATCTTAGGATGTTGAGGCTTCCGTCGGCGTTGAATACAAGGCCTCACTCAAATTCTGGATCCGCCATGCATGCTTGAAGTTGGAGAATATTTCAATGAGAAGGGAGGAAATATGTAGTGGTGAGGGAGAGCACTTGTAGGTGGCGAAGGAGGAGAGGGGAGAAGGGAGGGGCGGCGAGGTCTCCAAGGGGAAAAGGGAGGGGGCCGGCGGGTTCAAGGGGGAGAAGGTTAGGGTTAGGAGAAATTAGGTTTGGGTGGATTACTTTAGAGATTTAATCAAGATCTGAATTTAATTTCATATTTGATTAAGTTTGGAGGGAAATTTGATTTGAATTTTAAATTTCAAATCTAGAAATTAAGGCATTCAATGGGGGTTAATGAGGGGCCGGCGGCTTATAGAGAGAGAGGGAGGAGGTTTAAAACTTAAAACTGAAATTAATTTCAGGATTAAGTAAGTTGGGAGGGAAAAATCTTTGAAATCAAATTTTAATTTCAAATCGGGTGAGGCATTAAATGAGCAATCAATGGGGAGACTCCATCAAGGAGGGCCGACGGCATGTTGAGAGGGGGAGAGGGAGATTAGTGGAAAGATGGTTTCCAATTTGGAGTGATGATGTGGAAATATTTTAAAAGACTCTAATTTAAATTAAATTGAAATTGAAATTCGTCATGAAAACTTTCATAAATTGGAATTCCAAATTAGGAAAGAATTTGAAATTTGAAACTTGCGGAGAAATGGATTGGACGGGTGGGGGGAAGTCGCCAGCAAGGTGGCCGGCCGGTGCCGTGGGAGTGGCCGGCGGCGGGCTTCCAAGGAGGCGGCGGCAACAAGGATTTTGTATGGCTTTTCTTGTGGTGGTGGGGAAGTGGTTGGAGGAAAACACAAACGAGAAGATAGAATAACTTAACCACGAGCCGCAAACTCTTCCAACGACTGGTGGGTCTTGCGATTCGCTCCCCTTGAGCTCTCTCCCTTCTCAAGCTCTCATGCAAGAAGAAGTAGAAACAAAACACAATTTTTCATTCAAATTTCATTAACCCCAATACAACATATGAGACCACTATATATAGGTCTCAACTCATGAAAAAGAAAGGTACAACATTGCCCTCTGGGCTACAATAACAAAGTAACTCCCCACAGGGGTAAAAACGGAAAAAAAAACAATAAATACTAAATAATGCATCATGACATCTAAATCAAAAGTAGAGGCGCTGAATCGTGGCTGTCGATCTGCGATTCCGCCGTCGATAAACCTGTCGGTAGCGTCTGTCGATGTCCTCATCAACCTCTATCAATGAAAGCTTCATCAACCTTTGCAGTAATGAAAGCCATCATCTGTCAACTAGGAGTGTTAAAATGGATAGACTAGCATTAAGAGTTACTTGCCTATCCTTGAGCAAAAATGTAGTATTTAAAATTCTTAACGAAATGATTAGTACAAACATGATGGAAGCATTATCTGACTTGCACCATAAATTATTTTTCGCCAAAAGGGCATATCTTGTGTACAAGTTTTTAATTTTAGGATGTTTGAAGGAGCATCTACTGCAGAGCACATGCTCACATGTTATTTGAGCTTTGTGGATATCAACTTTGAAGAAGAAATTCTTACTTTGAGCTTGTTTTTATCATTACCTGAAAACTAGAATAAAGTTGTGATGACAATTAATAGATTATATAGATCAAACAAATTGAAGCTTAATAATGTCAGAGACTTGATGGTAAAATTCCTTCATCTTTTGCTTTGAATATTTATAGCAGCGGAAGATTTAAATCACAAAACAAGAGCCATCATACATACCATAAAAGAAATAAATCCAGAGATCATCCTGGTGCGTACTAGCATTATGGAAAACATGCCATGGGATGTAGGATTGACATAAAAAAAGGCAAAAGCAAGGTTAAAATTAGAAATTGTGAATGTTGCTGCATAAGAAATCGAAGAATTATTGATTCTTAATGTTGGCAGCCTAATGGATATTTGGATCTTGGACTCAGGTGTATCTCTTCGTTCTTCCTCTAACACGAAACTAATTCTACGTTATTTTGCATAGAAAGTGTTTCTTACTGTTACATTTCTTTAAAGTATTGTGGTCATCGATAATGTGGTTCTTAACTCAAAGCCAAACACATTCCTAGCCTGAGAAGAATTCAATCTCTATAACTACTTGTTGAAGTAGGGTGCAATGATAGCATGATTGACATCCTTTACACTGCTACAAGTATAGATATTGTTGGAGCGACAATAAGTTCAAGTGTTGATACATAGACCAGGCACCAAAGATTGGAGCATATAAGCAAGAAATGCCTTAAGATTCTTCAAGCCAATGGTAAGCTTTTAGATCAACAATCTCTTGAATCTAGCTTTTATGAATATTGTATTCTTGGAAAGCAAATGAGGGCCAGCTTCTCAAAGACTATAATAGAACATATTGTTAGGACACCTGTAGATACGGTTTTCTAGACTTTTCTATTAGATGACGTGTCTTTGTTCTTGATACGTTCTTGCTAAACTTAGTTCTATATATAGGTCTCTATGTAACCGGTTGGCTAAGTATCAAATGAATATTTTCTCTTCTGTCTTCTTTTATCTTCCCTGTTCTTGAAGCTTCTCTGCCTGTAACAAGGCAGAAGCTCTATCACATATAACCAAAAAAAGGAAATAAATTACACTTATTTATGGTAGATGCCCCCCTATTATATTTATAGCTTGGCATTGGGTTGGTTAGATCGGGCTCAATTCACAGAAGTTTTCTATGCCCAAGCATAGCCTGAGTTGTTAGTCCATTTTGGTCAAGTTGAGTTGTACATGCATTTGTTCTTAGAAGGATTGGGTCCGCCTACTGCATTTCTAGCCGACAATATATTAGCTTTAAATATAACTTTTTCTAAAGAGAGAGAAGAGATTAGAGGACATGCTTTATCAAGAAAAAATCAATCCCATGAGATATCAAAATAATCTCCTCAAGAAGTGGCATGACAGCTAAAAAAAACACTATGCATAAACTACTTGTATGGCCCATAAATTATGAGCATATGCTCAATTATGAACCAGCATCCCGTCATCTTCCATCCTCAACTTTCTAAATATGTCAAAATATAAAAAGAAAAGTTGAAGCAAGCAACCACTCTCCATCAATAAAAACTTAAATCCAACAACCCTTAACCTCGGGTCACCAAGATCATTGTCCATCTAGAATCAAATTTGAAAGAATTATTTATTTATTTATTTTAATCATTTACCAGAGCTTTTATACTTGTAGCAAATACATCAAAATATTCCATTATATTCGTTCTCCTAAAATCAATATATAATAATTAGGAGATCAATACAATCAATACTCTATCACTGACTTCTACTACAAAAGAATAAAAGAAATACAAACAAAATCAAAAGAAATTTGAAGATCTCAGTCAATCTCATTCCACCTGGTTCTGTCCCCTTATGTGACCTGAAATCATTAAAATTCACATAATGAGGTAAAAAACTCAACAATAACTAAAATTTACTAAAGCTATCAATGCAAGACTTAAGAATTAATATGAATATTCATCTCAATCAATAAAATCAATAACATTCATTATCATCAATTATCAGTCATAACTAGTACAACCCAATATGATCAATAATAAAAAGTATGAATTATTACATTTAAATCTGTAAATCAACATCTGTGCGAGACTATGTATCGGTAATCAGCAATAGTAATCAGTATTCGTATTAGTAGGTATCAGTAGGACAATAAAGATAGTAAAACAGTAAATCCGTAGAATAGAAAGTAACTCATCGGTGCTGAAATCATGCGTGAGTCTATGGATGAATCATAAGTGTACATATATCAATGTCAATATCATCAATCTTATCTATCTTATCTATTGTATAATTAGTATATGTATTTATTCATATGCTATCCTATCTATCAATGCCATCTGCCAATACTACTATATGTATGAATTAATATATAATTCAATATAAAGTTCAACAAGGCAGGAAATTTAGCTTTTATATAGTTGTTGACCTCCACATAAGAATTTTTTTTTTAAAAAAATCATTATTACCTTTGTCCGAAATCTTGCTCAAATCCTTCGCAGGTCGCCGCCCATTCCCTGCTGCGCCGAACTGTCTTGACTCCCGCGTGTACAAATCCGCCTCGACAGTCTCCCGCTCTCGTTAAAAACGACACGAGCAGAGCCTTCAGCTCTTCTGCCCTGTTCTTCCCCCACACGTTCGATTCTTCTCACTCCCACGCACAAAAAGCTCCTAAACCTCGGCCTCTTCGACACTGAAAGCCGCGACAAACCACCGTCGAACCAGCTGCCCCCTCCTTGTTCGAACACCTCACGTACGATGCCCAACTCTGATCCCTACTCGTATTCCCTAAGACGAATCCGAACCTCTTTGGTCGAACCTCGTCCGCACCTGAAGACCCCGACTTGATCGTCACTGCACTTCACAACCCACTTCCTTTACTGTGCCGATCCCTTTCCCTATCCACCCAACCTGATCAAAAACTCTTGTACACAATAAAGTCGTTGATCCCGTTCTTCACAGTCCGTGATCTACTCATCCGACCCCCTGCTTCAATCTTTACCAAAACAGCCACTCACACAGTCTTTCCTTCTTCTTTTTTCGTAAAAGTCCTGAGCCACAAAGCTCTTATAAATTGCTGAATTCTCTCAGCCTAAACAGTCCAACAACAGCAAGTCCACTAGCCAACAGAGATTTTGTTCTATTCGTTGTAAGTGATTAATCTCTTATTTATGTTTTCATTTATTTTGATTTTTACAAATTTTATCTCTCTTAAATTTTTCAAAAATAAAACTATTTTTCTTTTTGTTGTTCATTGAAAGCTTTAGTTAAATGATTAAAATGAAAGATAAATGTAATTCTTTCAATATAGATCTTGAAATGTGACTTTCAAACTCTCCAAGTTCCTTTATCTCCAACACTTGTTGCTATAATGTTTGATTCAATCCTTTCATCTACTCAACTAGGGCAGGATGCTTCAGCCTTCGATGGTTAAGTTTGTGGTGGGGATTGAACAATAGGAAGGACTTAGCTCATCCTCCTAGTCCTTTTCTCATTTTTATTATTTTTATTTTCTTATGTAGTATCTTAGCCGCACACTGGAAGATCTTCCTACATGGGGGCATGTTCTACTGGAATGCTTTCATCCTCTTGCAACCGCATCAACCCATACTTTCTTAACCTCCATTGCTTGCAGCCTCCTTTTCCATTGTCTATCCTTGAGCTTCTTCCAGTTATATTCTCGTCTCTTTGACTTCCTTTGCAACTTCTGTTTGTAGGGTCAGTAGCAAGGTTCGCTGCATTCTTGGCAATTTCAATTTTATAATCATCTTGTTCTACCCTCTTGTGCTTCATCTGGTGAAAGACGGTGAGAAGAACACTTCATGGGGTCTATTTCAAATCAGGGAAGCGCACTTAATAACAAAGGACTGCATAATATTTTACAAGCTTGTGATGTATATTTTGAAGCTCAGCGACACTTACAATTCCTTGAAATGGTGGGAAAAGTATCACCTAGAAAATCTGTTGAAGTTTCAAAGCAATCTCTGCTGTCCATGTATGCAACATCAGTGAATACCGAAACCTCTTGAGGCTTATCTAGCTCTCCGGAATGACTCCTCTTGGGAGATTTCTCTTGATAAGATTGTTGCTCCTAAATGCTCCTCTCGACAGTTCTATGCTTCTTTCAGATCCCACTAAACACCGCAACTCTACTCAAGACTACCTCAATCACCTGTGCCATTAGTTACCATTACCACTAGCCTCAACATATTTTATCAAATATTCATTGTTGCAATTACTATGAGATTACGAGGATTCTGACGCTTGCACAATTATTGAACCGCATTTAATCATCTACTATAATTCCTCAGTACCTTGATTGGCGCTTCCTCGGATAGCTATGACATTATGTTTTGGAGTTCTTGCTATGTTTTTCCAAGTAAAGATGTGCTAGTTGGTGTTGAAGTTCGGTTCTGCAAACTTGATTTAGGTTTTATTTGGAACAGCTTTAGTACTGCTTCCTAAAATTATTTTATAGTATAAAATTTTTTAATTCAAGAAATTTTTATACTAGAAAACTGTTTTAGAAATCAACAAAAAACCTGTAACAAACGAAGCCTTAGCTTTGCTGTTGAATATCAATCTTATGATTCAAATGCACTTAAAATAAAAGATTTATGGCGAAAATACGTTGTTCGCAGGATTTGCAGCAGCGACAAAGACATGAAAGAGAAGCAGTCTTAACCCAAATTGATCACAGCCGCAAGGCACTGTTCATCAAGCTTGAAGAGTACAAGGGAGAGGATCTTGAAATCATCCATGAGGCTGCAGCCTTTGCTAGAGAGAATGTTGAGCAGGATGGTGCTTTCTTCCTTCCTCAATATCCTTCCCACTTTCCTCCTGATTCGTTTGTTGTTAAGGATAACGATCCTTCTTCATTCTCATCTAAGAATAGTCTTACAGTGGACTCCGCACAAAATAAGCAAAGAAGGATTAGATCTGTTTTGGGATTTATTGCTAAATCAGTCCTTAGTTTTGTTGGTATAGTTTCTGCTTTAAGACTGGCTGGCTTTAAACCGGAAATCAGAAAAAGAGATAACTCAATTAATCTTTTGGATTTCTTGCCTAAGACAACAGACGAGGTGAGAGAACTATCAATTCATTGCCCATCTAGTAAGGTATTGGTTATTAAAGATGGGAAAGCCAGCTGCCTTGTCAAAGAACGTGTAGAAGTCCCATTTGGCTCAGATTTTGGAAATTCCAACATAAATATTGCGTTTGGTTAAAGTTGTCCAAATTTAGAGTTGTAAAATTTTAAACTATAATGCACATTTTGGTTCTTTCTATTGGGTAATGCATCACACTGGGTATGAATGTTGTTGTAGGTTTCATTTGGGACGGCTTTCTTCCTGCTTCTTAAAGCGGCTTTCTAGTATCAAAAGTTTTAATTTTTGTACTAAAAAGTCGCTTTAAGAAGCAGGAAGAAAGCCGTCCCGAAGCCGTAGACTGTTAATAAATGGAAAAATTCTGCTTCTTCACGGAGTGGTTGAAGCTTTTCAATTGGAGGCTTCTTAGCTTTTGTGCAATGGTTCTAAGTTGTTTTGTTGCTAAATATGATTTCTTTGTCTTTCCTTCTTTATGTGAATGCAAGTCTTCACATTGCGTTTTATGAAATAATAGCCTTCTCTTTTGAACTCTCCTTCTACGGTGCTTCTCAAAAAAAGAGGCGTCCGTTTGGAAATTGAATGGTTCAGTAAGTGTCTCCTTGATACATTGGGGGTCAGAAATCCTCCAATTGCCATGGCCGAGCCAAAATAAAACAAGCATTTCAGCAGCTGCTCTTGGTTTTCTGTTGCTCTCTCTTTGTCTGATTTGAGATTAAAATCGTCTCTGCTATTGTACCCTCATATGCAAGAAAAATTATTCTGTGCGGACATTGGATCATTCAAAAGTGAATTAGAATGCGTCACGTCATCCGGTACACAGTGGTACACTGCCGCGTTACACAACAATCGGGTGATGTCGTGCATTTTGATTCGCCTCTGAATGACGTCCGTATTTGCACAGAATAATTTTACCAGATGCAAAACTCTTCTCCTTCTTTGCAGAATGATGAATGTAAGTGCTGGTAATACCTACTTGTTGATATGATTGGCTAATTGGGTCGTTGAGTCTATATACCAAAGACTCTTTGTGGTCTTTGGAATCCACTAGGTCGATGAAAAATTTGCTTTTCTTTAGAGCATTATAAGTAATCAACGAAGAAAAGGAATAATATAAAATTTTTTGAAAACAATGATAAATAGAAATTATGGGTATGATTTGAAAATTAAAATAAGTAGAAAATTATTTCGAACAAAGCTTAAGTAGAGTTTTGTTATATGTTGATCTTAAATTTAGGAAGGTAGTTCATGAATGAATTAGATTTATATTCTCCTTTTTCACTCTAAAATAAAATAAATATAACCTAATAATTTGTCTAGTTTTTACCTAAGACATAATTAAAGAAAAATATTTTGAGTATTAAAATAAATTAGCATATACTATATAAATAAAAATCTTAAAGAATTTTATGAAAATGAATCTTAAAGTTGTATTTAGGGTTTTTCCTCAGTATGCTTGTATATGGAGGGGGATTATAGAGGAGTAGCGTATTGTTATTGTATCTTTAATTTACAATAATAATTGCAGCATCACAATTAAATAATTCAAGCATAATTACTATATTCATTATTTAGGGATCATAAATATTTATGTGTTTATTTTTTATATTCAAGCAATTGTAATACATTTTATTCTGTAATTTATAATTCTTATTATTTTTATGTATGTTATTTTGCCATAATTTATCCATAAACAAATAGAATTGTCAACTAATTTCGCAGGGCTATTTTGTCAAAATAGTATTTTATAAACAAAAGAAAATACCTCATAAATAATTTCAAAATTTACATGCAATTAACTCAGTATTTTCGATTCTCTCAAAATACTATGAAGTGGAACTCAAAGCTAACAATTACGCTAGTTAGTAAAAAAAATTAAAGCTAATGTTTTGGGTAGGCTAATTTTTTTCTATTTATTAAATAAATGCTTAATTATTTTTATTTACAATAATAATATTCAGATATTGAAGAATATAACAAATTTTTTAATTTTTTATTTTATTAATTTTTTTTATTATAACAGGTTATTAAATAAAATTATTTTTAATATTAAATAAATAAATAAATAGTTGAGCTTTATACATGATGTACTTACAGCCACCAACTTTAAAACACGTTAATCACGACGAGGCCCCCGCGGACAAGCAATTTTTTTATTTTTTTTATTTTTATAATAATGGCAACCACAATAGCGATCAAATAAAATAAAAAATCAATTCAACTGTTTTTCGTATCGTTTCTCGAAGACTCACCATTGTTCCCTGCTCTTCCGAACCCTAAAATTTCTTAATGTAGTTTCAATTTTGAATATCTCGAAAATATCTTGTTGTTGCTAACTCTGATCGATCTCACCGTGACCCCGGCTGAGATCGATCGACCGATCGATTGTTAGAATCTATGGAGTTGTTCCAGCGTGCAAAGTCAATCAGGCTGCGAAGCCACCACGACAAGTACCTCCTTGCGGATGAGGACGAGGAGCACGTGTGCCAGGAACGTAGTGGCTCGACGAAGCGAGCACGGTGGACGGTTGAGTTTGTGGAGGGCCACCCCCTGATCCGGCTCAAGAGCTGCTATGGAAAGTACCTCACCGCCTCTAGTGAGCCCTTCCTCCTCGGCATGACCGGATGCAAGGTCCTGCAGACCGTTCCTCGTCGCCTCGATTCGTCCGTGGAATGGGAGCCCATCCGAGATGGAATGCAGGTTAAGCTCAAGACACGATACGGGAATTTCCTCCGAGCTAATGGAGGTCTGCCGCCGTGGAGAAACTCCGTCACCCATGACATTCCGCATCGCCACCACGATTGGGTGCTCTGGGACGTGGATGTTGTCGAGATTCGCGCGGTTGAGCCGTCTGCGGCTGAGCCGGAGAACTTCTCTGCTGTCTCATCATCGGAATCAGTTTCAAGGTTGTCCAAGCAAGAGGTTCGTTTTGTTTGTTCTTCCTTCTCTAATCTGCAAATAATGGCTGGTCCAGCTTCTTCTGCCAGCAAGAGCGTGATTTTTTCCTGTTTGCTCAATCGGATTAGTTTTACAGACGAAAGCTTAATTTTATATTAATCTCTTGAATCAAGCCTTCTAGCCTTATATTTCTTTCTTTCTTGGGAAATTTACATACATACCACTTTATACCATCTTATTGATCATGATAACCTTTGAAGTTATCTGCGAAACTTAATATTCGCGCTTCTCTCCTTGGTTCTAACATAAAGCTTCGTGATTGCAGTCATCCTCTTCTTACAGTGGTTCACCTCACAAGTCTGAAGGTCGGAGTATTCACTATTTAATTGCGAATGACAGTGGTGAGATTGAGGATGGTAGCGAGTACACCTTCAGATTCAAGGGGACTAGCGTGCAGGAACTTACGGAAAAGCTGATGGAAGAAACAGAGCTGTCTGATATTATTGTTTGCTCCCGAAACCCTCTAAATGGGAAACTCTATCCTCTGCGTCTGCAACTTCCTCCGAACAACACAGCCTTGCATGTTGTGGTAGTCCCATCTAATTCAAAATGTTAGTCTTTTCTTGTGATTTCTAAAGCTTTTCCAACATTTTCTTTTTGTGCTGGAGGTTTCAACTACCATGCTTTCAAGAATGTGGTGAACATAATAGAATTATTTCCACCTTGATTTTTCTTCTAATGACTATTTCTTGCTCTAACTTTATTATGTGGAAGTTGCTTCATAGAGGAACAATTTGATAACTTCTTTTTTTATTATTATTATTTTGGTGACCTTTTATTCCTTCTTGTATTTAAAGATTTTTCAGTACGCACTTGTATTTGAATATGCCATTCTTTGTTTATTCATAGATGTTTAGTTCAACATTTTGTGTACCATAGTTCTTGTTTGGACGCACATTTTATGGTCATCAACAGTGTCAGCTTTGCCTTTTCAGCTCTTTAATACTAATGGAAATTGTTTCATGTTGCACTGAAAACTTGTATTGTTTACATAGTAAATTTTGCTTTCAAATGCTTTGCAATTCAGAATTTTGCTTACCTTTGGACACTTAAATGGTGAGAATTGCTTCGCAGTACATTTCATTCTTTTTTAGCTTTGTCATATTGGTAATTATGGGGCTTTGTATGTAAATAATGGTTATTGATTTATTTGAGATTTTTTCCCTCTGTAGTTTAAGCCATTTTTGGCTAAAGCAGTTGCTTGTAGTAGCATGAAGAAGACCGTAATTTAGGTTTGCACACTATCAAAAGGGGCAAAAAGAGCAAGAAAACATGCTAAGGGAAAGCTGCTAATGGGACATTTGATTACTTAAATATTAGACTGGCTAGTTGTCACAGAAAACATGTCATTGGTTTTAATTTTTAGCTGAATCTACCAGTTTTTTATTGGATCAGCTTCAGCAGAGACTAATCAAGTTTTGTTTAAAATTATTGGGTTTATGTTGTAGCTTATAATAAAGTTCCAAAAGAAGTGCTTTGGAAGTCTTAGAAAAGAAAGGGATTTATAATGCTTATGCTCAAGTCGTTAAGTATTTGTATGCAGGAGCTTTTACTTGTGATACACAATGCGGTTTGACCAAATATTTTTCTATTTCAGTTGGATCACATCAAGGATCAGCTTTAAGCCCATATCTTTTTGCTTTAGTCATTGGATGTTCTTACTAGACATTTGCAAGAGGATGTACCCTTGTGTATGTTTTTTGCTGATGATAATCTTCTTGTTGATAAGTCTAGAGAGAGTTGAAGGTAAACTTAAATTATGAAGGTCAACCTTAGAGTCTAAAGGTTTTCATTTGAGTACATTGAGTGTAATTTTAGTAGTAATAGATCTAGTGGGGGCCTGGGGGGTTTGGACTTTGGACGATCAAGTCATTAATAATAGTGCACATTTTAGGTATCCTGGGTCTATTGTCCAGAGTGTGGTGAGTGAAATAGATGGGGATATTATTAGTAGAATTAAAGTTGGATGGTTAAAGTGGAGCAATGCATCAGGCCTATTGTGTGATAGAAAAGTACCCCTCAAACTTAAGGGAAAATTCTATAAGATGATGGTGAAACCTACAATGTTTTATGGTGCATAATGTTGGCCATTTAAAGAGAAGCATAAAATTAAGTGTTGCATAGATGAGGATGCAGTGGATGGGTGGTTTTTCTCTTAGAAGCAAAATACAAAAGAGCATATACGTGAAAAGGTTGGATTAGCTCTAGTGGCAGATAAGATTGGAGAGAGTCAACTTAGATGTTTTTGTCACATAAAACGCCGGTCTTCCGATGACCCAGTCAAGAGAGTAGATGTATTAGATTTGGTCTATGTTAAGAAAGGTAGAGATAAACCTAAAAAGACTTGATTATAAAATATTAGAAATGACCTTTTTTAATTAGATTTAAATGAAATTTTTACTCTTAACAAGACACAATGGAGAAAAATGATTCATGTAGCAAACCATAATGTAGTGGGATAAAGTTCCTTGTTGAAAATAGTGGATGGAAGGAGGAGATGAAGAACAAGTTAGCAAGTTGGTTGTGGGTGAGCTGGCTATTGTGATTTAAAGGGATTCTGGCGGACATTTTGGAGATTTGAGTTGCTGTGTATTGATGGGAGATTGAAAAATGGCAAATAATGGTGCTTAGAATGAAGAAATGGTAAAAAGGTGAAGTGGACGACTTTAATAAAAGAGTGGAAATGTTGTAGTGGGATTGGAATTGGATGGGGAAAATATGATGGCAGGAAGTTGTAGTCTTGGTTGGTTGGCTAGTGGAAAGAATGCTGTAGAGTTTGGAAAGGCTGAATTTCGGGATTGAGAACTACTGTAAGAGCGTAGATAAAGTAAGCTCTGAGGTAGGGGAGGCAGATGCAGCAAGATTGGGAAGAAGAAAGCAATATTGGTTTTCTAGTTGCAATATGATTTTCAAATAATGTATGGTTTTATTTATCCTGAATTTGCATGTTAAATTTCTATTTGGTGACTATTGAATTATCATTTGTGTAAATTTTTTATGTTGTCTAATTTCCATTAAAAGAGGTGAATACTTGATTAAATTTTTGGTCTGTGAATTACAAATTTTATTTTAATGTGCCTGATTAGTGCATTTCATCTTATCGTTGCTTTAGGAAATGTTAGACTGTAAGATGTCTTAGATTGATATTAGAGCTCGTGGTTGTGTCAAAATTTCAATTAGAAGTGTGGCTTAATATCGAGTTTGAGAAATAGGGATAAGGTTTTGTAAAGTTTGTGAAATCAATTGGTTGATTTATAAAATCTAAATTAAACGAGCGAGGACATGAATGAAATTAAGGGGGTCAATTAACATTTTGGAAAATAATCAATTTCACCCACAAACCAGGAGGCAAGAAATTTAGCACGAGAGGAATAATTAAGATAGATTTTATAGAGTTTATGATAATGAAATTTATGGTATAAATGGTGACATAAATAAGAAAGTTAAAAATTTAGGCATCTACATTTAATGAGAAAATAGTTCCTTTTCTTATTGAGAATGGGTTGTGTTCTCTTCCCTTGCTTGCTTTCTTCTTGGTTTTGGTTTTGGCATCCAATTTGCTTCTCCTTGGTTTACTCACTCATTTGCCCTCTGAGTTTCAGTTTTTTTTTTCTTCTTATATACATTTGGGAAGGTCCAGTTCCTTGACTGCTTTTTGGGATAATAGTTGATTAGTGCCGGTCGTCTTGCAGTTTTTGTTGCTGTGCAAATATCTGAGGTGTGCTATCTACGAGTCTTTCAACTAGATCTAAATTATTGACTGACTCTAATTTTTTTTTTAAATAGGGGGAGCTTAAGGCATATAAAATAAGTTCCAGCAATAATTTATTTGATTATTTTGTTTTTCTAATGTACTTGATTGTATGAAAATTGTTCTAAAATGGCATTAGAGTTGACTACCACTTCTCAATATGCCATCTTATTGTATTGATGTGAGATGTAGATTGAAATTTCCATAATTTCTTTTCTTGAATAATTTATTCTGTATTTTTAGTTGTTTTTCCTACTGATTGAGTTTGGCCAAAACTCATATACTTAGGGTTTTAGGTTTTCTTATTAATGTATGATTTTTGACCGACACATGATTTTCAATGATCATGTGTTTTTATTAGGTGACCATTAAATTATCATTTATGTGAACTATGTGTTTTTCTTTTTGGATTTTCACCGAAGGATGTGACTATTTGTTTAAATTGATGTTATGCAATTGTGACTTTTGATTTTGTGTGTGATTTCTTAAGTTATGTCATATAGTTTCAATAAACTCTAGAATACAAGTCATCAGGCATCAGTAAGTGTCCAAGCCCTGCTCCCAGTCACGCTCAAGTGTAGAATTTATTAGAAAATTCCTTTTTTTTTTTACAAAGCTCTTTAAAATTGGCTTAAAAAGTTATTCTCCTGCTATCCCAAGAGGATATCAGCTTTTATTGTCTTTTTGAGGAATTTTTATTGGGTGTGGACTCCGGAAGTAGCTCTACGTCCTGAATCCAATAATATCCTGCCATGTGGATCCCGATGACCCCACCATTCCTATTTAACACATTTTTCCCACTTACAGCATGGCCCGACGACCCGACCCGAAGCAGACGCGAATGGTCCAAGTCGGGTCGTCAGGCCGCACTCACTTTTTGTTGTTACAACTTAAGGCTTATCATTGTCTCTTCTTCTGCAAATATATCATACTTGCTGATTATTTTTTTATCCACACTCTTGCCACCAGCATGTGGATTTTCTTTTAGTTGCAGATTATTTCTATATCCACATCTAACAATATTTGAATTATTTCTGCAGTGGCCCAGAGTTTCCCGAAGCCGCAAAATCTTCCGTAGAAGATCCGTTTGTCTATTTACTATCATATTCGATTCATCTGCACATTATTCGCTTTCAACAATCCACATTCAGAGGATGTTTCAATATTCTGAAATGATATTTTTATTAACATGAATACAGAATTCATTAAAGGATTGTCCAGCTATTCCTTAAATAATTGTACAGTTATTATGTGCATTATTGGTGTTATATGATCTATTTCAGAACCCCTGCATCTGTTCTTATTGAGAGCATATTTCTGATTGTGCACAGTTACCGCCTACATCTGCAAATTTATCATCATATAACTGAAATTATCATTTTTTCTTTGAGAGAGTGACTATTTTTCTCTAATTGTTATGACATTGACTTTGTTAAGTTCTACAATGAGTTAGTTTTAGTTGATAAAGATCTATTGTAAAATTAAGCAGGTTACTGCCTACTATAATATATTTGGTTATAGTAGGATTGTTGTGTATATTAAGTTCAGGGTTGAAGGCTGTCTCACTTTCCCGAATTTTTATTCCGTCAGGTTACCTGATGTAGCTCTACGTCAGGTAGTTTATAATATATCGCCACGTGCTCTTACTCTTTACCGCGCGGCCCGACGACCCGACTCGGACCGAATCCGGGATTACTATGTTCGCGTATTGCTCGGTATTGCTAGGTATTACTCGGTATTGCTTGGCAATAACGAGAAATACCGCTCTGTAAAGACCAATATCGAGCAATACCGAGTAATACCTAAAAGAACTCGGTATTGCTCGATATTGGTCTTCACATAATGGTATTTTTCATTTTGTCGAGCAAAATCGACCAATACCGAGCTACGCAAACTCCCGGGTCCGTTCCGGGTCGGGTTGTTGGTCTGCGCGGAAAAGAGTAAGAGCACGTGGCGACATATTACCTGACGTAGAGCTACATCAGGTAACATGACGGAATAAAAATTTCACTTTCCCACCCAACTAAACTCGGGGGTTATTTAGCTTTGTTTGGGATAGTTTTCTTACTCTTTCTTAAAGCAGTTTTTTAATACAAAAATTATTATTTTTTACTAGAAAATTATTTTAAGAAGCAGTAAGAAAGCCGTCCCAAATAAAAACTTAGTATGATAAGATTACTTCTTGTGTAAATTAAGCTCCAATTAAATTCCATCAAATTAACCGTAAGAACATGCAGAAGAAAATAAAACTGGGTTGATATTAATGAAATATGAAAGCGTATGGAAGAATGAGGAATATTGTTATTGTACAATTTTTTATATTAGATGCATGATTTGATTTGGGCCATCTGTAAGATTGTAAATGAGTTGAGTTTGAGCGAGCTCAATATTTGTTTGTGTTTAATTTATTCAAAAACTTGTTCATTCGAATTTGACTTTTGAAATTGTTCTTGAATAGCATATTTATGTTCGGTTAATTTTGAATTGGGGCTTGTGTTTTAATCAAATTATAGAAAGTATTAAAATTCAGTTTTTCTTGAATAACTTTTAGAAGTTGTTAAATAAATGTCAAAAATTAAAAATTTATTGATAAAATTTTATGATTTAATTATCAATTAAACTTAAAATTTAACAATCAACAATTTAATGTCTTATACTATAAAAAACAAGAATATTATATATGTATATAGTCATGCTCAATTTGCTTTCATTTCCAATAATGATAGAGATGATAACATTTCATTAGCATTTGAATTTTTTAAGGTCCTCAATCTCTCTAATTCTCCCATACATTTTTGCGTCAAGATGGATCTAAACAAAGCATTTAAATTTTTGCCTCCACCTCTAGCCCCAACAAGTCCGACTCCCTCTCACGTGAAGTTTCCCGAACCTGCTTTAGGTCGCAGCTCTTCCCATTGATTCCTCTACCCAACCTTAACTCTGCAGGCTCGGCCTCGCCTTAATCTAGCCGAACCCCCTCACCTCCAAAATGACGGCAAGTAATTAGGTCTGGTCACCCGACCTAAATATGCATTCAGATTCGGTGCATTTTTTGTGCGCTTTTATTGTGCTTTTGATGTATTTTTGCAAAAGAGCAGTTAATACACAATTTTAATTACATATTAGCTGTTTTTTGTTGAGTATTTGCACAAATAAAGCAAAAGAGCAACAAATATCTCACTCATTGAGTATTTGCTGTCATTTTGTTGCGCTTTTCAAATACTCAGTAAAAGAGCAGCAAAATGGCAGCTAATATGCAATTAAAATTATGTATTAGCTGTCTTTTTGCAAAAATACATCAAAAATATAATAAAAGCACAGAAATTCGGACGCAAATTTAGTTCCGATGATCAAACCTAATAATTTGCCCAAAATGACAGCCTAGCTGCTGAATCCACTCCCAGCTACCTCCGACTTAACTGGCTGGATCTTGCCCAGCCCAATTCCTTCAGGCCCAACTGCAACTTGGGCCAAAATCCCCCTCAAAGCCGAAATCCCCGTCACAGACAACTCGATTCCATATCAGCTTCCAATCCACTTCAAGCAAACAGCCCACAACCTCAAGCCTTCTCCAGCCATCGTCTCTCTCTCTCTCTCTCTCTCTCTCTCTCTCTCTCTCTCTCTCTCTCTATTAATTTTATTAATATTACAATTAATACTATTAACAATACTAATAATTAACATTATTATCATTATTATAAAAAAGGAGAAATAAGTATAAAAAAAAACTCGCGAGCCCACTGTTATCGTCACGAGTTGAGCACGAGCTCGCCTCCTAAGCTTGACTCGGGTTCGAGCTCGTGATCTAGTTGACGAGTCGAGCTCGAGTTTGGCAAGACTCAAATTCGACTCTACTCGTTTACGCCCCTATTGGGATCCCACTCACTACAATAAGCAAATCTACAACTGTTATGTTGCTTGGTGTTTAACTTAAGCTTTATTTGATATAATTTTCTTACTGTTTTTTAAAACAGTTTTCTAGTACAAAATTATTTTAAATTAAAAATTTTTGTATCAAAAAATTACTTCATAAAGCAATAAATAAGTTGTCCCAAACAAAAATTTACTATGGTGCCATTTGAAAAAGTTGTTCTTTTAAGAGTTTCTATTACATGGAAAGCAATGCAATTAACTGTCATCAATATAAGGAGGCTCAATTTTAATGTTCGAATTAGTAGTCCTCTATCTCTTGGGAAGCTTTTTCAAGCTCTGGCAGCTCCATTTTCTAAGCTAAATAAAATATGTAGCAAATAAAAGAAAAATCACTGAGTTTGGATAGCTTACTATGGCCATCAGGTGTAATATTAATTGACATCCAGAATATGAAATTGGCAGTTTCTCTTGTGCATCAAAGCATTGAGTGCTTTGATTTCCTGGCTAAGATGATGAAGCCAATTCCATACACTATTGTCATTGTTGTGTTAATTAGCAGAGTTAAATTCAGATATCTTGGTTCTATTACATTAAGAAAATACTGATATTACTATTACATTAAAAGCTAGATGGTTAAATAGAGAAGGGTTTCTAAAGTACTACATAGGGCTGCAAATGAACTAAGCGTTTGATGAGCTACTCATGGCTCGACTCAATAAGAGTTTGTTCATGTTCGTTTGATGAGGTAAACGAACGAGCTTGAACAATTTTGATAAATACTCGATAACTAAATAAACGAGCTTAAACAACTTTCCGTTCGATTCGCTTATATTCATGAACAGTATCGCTTAATGCTCGTGAACAAGCTCATTAAAAAGCTTGATTAGAGCTCGACTAAGAAGCTCAATTATAACTATATTATAGTTTTAAAAATATAAATTGTTAAATTTAATGATTTTTATTACTAATCTTGTCTAAAATCGTTTAATAATTTATTTTTATTTCCCGTATTCGCCTAAAAAATCACGAACAACTCGCTCTCTGAATAAATATAAGATGAATCATAAATCATTTGTTCGTGAATGAACTCATTTGGTAGCTTGAAAACACTACTTAGATATGTTTATAAGTGAGCTCATTTGATAGCTCAAGAATACTCATTAGATATGTTCATGAACGAGTTTGTTTGATAATTTAAAAAACTTCGCTAGATATAATCATGGACATGCTCGATATAATTATTTGTTAGAAGGCTCGATAAGGCTTGTTTGTTAAGTTAATGTACATAAAGAAGTAGAGCTCGTTTATAGCTTAAGGCTCCTATATTTAAAGCTCAATAAGCATGAAATGAACCGAATATGAATCAAACATGAACTGAACATGAACATCCAATAATTTAAACAAATCAAGCTTGAACATAAACACAAAAGCTCAAATCAAACTCGAACTGAACTTAAACAAGTTGATAATAAACAAACTCAAACATAAACACGCACATACTCTGCTCAGCTCGGTTCGTTTGCAGCCCTAGTACTACATGATAGGAGAAAATGTTGAAAAAACTTATGTAAGATAAAAAATATTAACTATAGGGAAAATGTAGTCCCTTGATATGATACAGATCAATATGGCAAGAATTTGTTCAAAAAGATTATGTAAATAGAATTTAACATTGCATGTAACAGTTAAAATAAGTGATTGACAAAGAAGAATTTGCAAACTAACCCCAAGTAGTTAAGGAATTTGATGTGATGAAAATGCGACTATTGGGTAGCCAAATATGAGCCAAATGCATATGTTTACACAATCTGACTATTGGGTAGCTCTTTGCTGTTACTCAAACCCTCAATCAACGAGATGTAAGTACTGTCATTAGGCTTAATACCTTTGCTCACCATCTCTTTTAAGAGCTCCTCAGCCTGATCTCCTTCCCCATTTTTACAAAGTCCTTGAATAAGAGCATTATATGTTAGAATTGTCGGGTTGAATCCCTTTTCCAGCATCTCATTTCGAACAGAAAAGGCATCTTTCATCTCACCCTTCCTGCTATAACCGCTAATTATGGTATTGTAACTGACAAGGTCAGGCTTGATTCCTCGTCTTCGCATCTCATCGAGAAGTTCTCGAGCCTCCTCTGCTTTCCCCAACAAGCATAGGCCTCTCATCAGAGAATTGTAAGTAACATCATCAGGATGGATTCTCCTCTTCTCCATTTCCTTCAAAAGCTCATAAGCTCTTTCAAAGTTTCCACTAATGGAGTGGCCATCAATCATGACATTGTACATCACAAGATCAGGAGGAAAGCCCTTACTATTCACCATGTCCCTGAACATTTTATCAGCCTCAGCCACTTTATTCCTCTTGCAAAGGGCATAAATTAAAGAAGTGTAGGTGACCTTATTGGGCTTCACTCCCTTCCTTGACATTTCTTCAAACAACTCAAATGCCTTCTTTACATTGCCATCCTTTGAATATCCATTGATTAGAATGTTATAGGTGATTGCATCAGGTACCATCCCCTTCTCTCCCATATCCTTGATCAGGGCATTTGCTTCAACATCCTTCCCCTCCATAAACAATGCATGAACAAGCAAATTGTAAGTGGTTATAGTAGGCTCGATTCCCTTCCTTACCATCTCATCCCTTAAATGAAATGCAACATCTAACTCTCCTTTATTACAATAACCGGAAATCAAAGCATTAAAACTGACAGCAGTAACAGCCAATCCTTTATCTTCCATCTTTCCTAACAATGCAGAAGCATCCTCAAGCCTCCCTTCTTTGCACAAACCAGAAATCAAAGTTCCATAAGTGTAAGAATCAGGCTTGATTCTTTTTTCGATCATCTCATCCAAAATTTCTAGACCCGTTTGGACCTTACCTCTTAGGCAATACCCTTGAATTAAAGTATTGTAAGTCACAACACTCGGCTTGATCCCAGACTCCTCCATGAATATCATAAAAGCTTCTGCCTTCTTCAATTTGCCTTCTTTGCACAGCACATTAATCATTATATTGTACGTGACAATCGTTGACGAGATCCTCAATCGGAACATTTCTGCATACAAAACCCATGCCTTCTCTGTCTGATTTTTCTTCAAAAAAACACTTAGCATGGAGTTGCAGGATTCAATCTTCGGTAGCATGTTCTCCTCTTTCATGAGATAGAAGAATTCCAGAGCTGCGTCGGGATCGCCAGATTCAGCGTAGGCGCGAAGGAGGAGATCGAACACAATCGGGGTGTCGCATGGGCGGCACTGATTCTGTGCAGCAGCCAGAGCATCGAAGACCTCACGAGGAGAAGCTTTAGGGAAGCCTGAAGTGAGTGATTGCTTCAGTAGGGATAGGGCGGGGTCCGCAGAGAGTAGAACGGCGGCGGTGGAGAGGGATTGAAGGTCGAGGCAGCGGTGACCTAAGCGATGCACGAAGGAAGGGATGAGATGTGGAGACCCTTGAAGACGAACAAGAATGGAGGAGATGAGTGGAGGGGAGAGGGAGGGGAGTAAGGAATCGAGGTGAGACCATTCGGATTTGAGGATGAATTCTGCGATGGAATCGGCCGAGAGTTCGCCGACGGCGGACGAGGACGAAGAGTAGTGGACTGAGGAGGCGGAGAGCTCACTGGAGTCGGCGGTGGCGTTACTGAGGCGCCATTGCTTGATCCGAGTGAGAGATCGAACGACCCGCATTGTGGACTGTGGAGCAACAGAAGAGGTTTAGAGCAGAAGATTTGGGTTCTGATATATTATATTATTATATATAGTTGGAAATAAAATTTAGAAGTCTTAGTATGCTTTGTTGGAAAATTAATTTTGTTTTTTAGAAATAATATTCATTCGGCCCTTGCACACTTGTCACTATATTCAGGCCATACAGCGCGTCGCTTCCAGGGGACGCCCTAGCATTAACACAATTTCTTAAAGGATTCATGTCATTATTGTTCGACAAGTTTTACGCTGGCTGTCGACTACCTAACGCAACCCTCCACTTTTCTCATCCAGGACTTGGGACCTGGCACCTTAAAAAATTAGATTTAAGACTATGTCAAAAATTAACAAATTTTATTCAATTTTTTAGTTTAGAATGAAACAACGTCTCAAGTCCTATCATAATTACATTTTAATTATAATTATAATTTGATTTTAAGATATAATTATAAATACATCACATTAACTTACTCTGATAAAAAAAATCTAATATCATTTAACCCATCTTTTCATCCTTAAATATTATTTTACTAATAACAAAATTAAAACTTAAAAATTAATAATTCTTTTCTAGCTCTCAAAATTAAAAAATGGAAATATATATATATTTCAAAATAAATGTCAGCCATCTGATTCATTTCAGGTGGATACAAAATCAAAGATTCTAAAAAATCAGAATGGATTGATTTCAGCTTTGTTTGAGACGGCTTCTTATTACTTCTTAAAACATTTTTTAAATAAAAAATTAAAAATTTTGTACTAAAAAACTACCTTTAAAAAATAATAAAAAAATAGCTCCAAACGAAGCCTTCATCCTTCCAAAATAGCACTTCATGCCAACTCTCAGCCAAATATTTTTAGCTATAAATCATTCAAACTTGTGAAGATTTGAACAAAAAAACAATTTTTGTTTTATATTGACAAATGCAGTGCGTGCAACATGAACAAATGTTGTTTTTTTCATCCATAAATCAGAAAATTTAAGATATCAGAGATTATGAAGTGACACAGAAAAAGTGTCCAACAATTACATATTTCGAACAATTTAATTGAAATAAGATATTTCCAGAGCTTTTGCCTTCTCAGCCGCCATAGCAGCATCTCCCTTCCCTGCAATACCATATGCCTTCTCCTAACAAGGATCATGACAGCACTGCTTAGTTCGGTTTAGGGTTAAAAAATTTGTATCCAATGAATTTGTTTGTAGTGATATGCAAGTTAACAAGTGCATATCTTATGTAATTGAATTTATTTCGTTTGGGACGATTTTCTTACTGCTTCTTAAAACAATTTTTTAATATAAAAAATTTAACTTCTAAATTAAAAAGTTATTTTAAGAAACAATAAAAAAATCGTCCCAAACCAAGTCTTAGACTTCGTTTGGGACAGCTTTCTTAGGGCATCTCTAACTGAAAATCTCATTTTTCACTCCAAAATGCCGTGAAACTAAAAAATGTCATGATTCATCTCCAATCGAACGTCATTTTACCCCGTAACGATCGTTCGCGTGTTTCTTTGGCAAGTTCGATAGAAACCAAACATTGGCATAGATAAACAGTGCAATGCCAATATTGACGTCGCACTGTTCATCCACGATGAAATGACGTAAGAATTGCCGCTCGGTTGGAGCGACCGAAGCCGTTCTATTGGAGATGCTCTTACTGTTTTTTAAAATAAATTTTTAATACAAAAATTATTTAAATTAAAATTTTTTGAACTAAAAAACTGTTTTAGAAAAGCAATAAGAAAGTCACAACAAAAAAGCACAGTGGCAAAAACTTAAAACTATGTTTCTTCAAGGAGAGGAGAATCACTGTAGTAATCCACAACCAAAAAGGAGACTTAAAAGAAGTAGGAAAGGAAAGGAATCAATCCACTACATACCAACAAGCGCCACAAGTAAGGGCACCCCACTCTTTTCTTAAGCTGTTTCTCAATCAGATCTATCGCTGCAGTAATAAAAAATTTCACTATTAGTACAAAATGCTGAATTAGAAGTATGCAAATAAGCAATTCTACCTTTTGAGGCATTTCCTGTGTTTAGCAAAACATTGTACCAAATTTCATTGAAAACATCAAGTTGTTCATCAGAAGCCCCAATCATCTGACAATGTGAAAAGGAAAATTTATATATATAAGATAATTAAGGATTCGTTCGGGACGGCTTTCTCGCTGCTTCTTAAAGCAACTTTATAGTTAAAAATTTTAAATTTTTGTACTTGAAAGATGCTTTAAGAAACATTAAGACAGCCGTCCCAAACGAAGCGTAAGTGATAGTGAAGAAAGTGTCATAAGAAATTAGCTTACTTTAAAATCAATCGCATCAAAATCTGGACCAAGTATATCAACTACTTTGTGATGATTGCCTCTGCCATACTCATAAGTAGCTTCTGCAAGCTGTGTTGAACATTTCAAGAATTATCAAAACCTTTATGATGCAGAAATGTCAAGGTAATGCATGACAGTGCATAAATGTCAGCATGAACAAGCTTGCAAGTTTTCTGTGCGACCGGGATTTTAGAAATTATAAATTTATCAAATATCACATAACAAACGGGTAAGTTTCATCTTAGAAAAAGATTATTTAGCTAGAAAAAAATGAGGTTCTAATAGAAGAAAAGTTTATAACAAGAAGTTGGCCTTCCCAGGCTACAACATTTTAGCAGAAAGACTACAGGCTTCAGTTAGGTCGGCCCAATAGAGGCCGGCTAAACCGGTCGAATCTGGATCAGTTCACGTCTACAGCCGCCGGATTTTGTATTCCTTTTTCTTTAATTAGTGGCTAATGCTAGAATTAGATTTTTCATCTAGAATTTGAAAGCAATTTGAGATCTAGGGTTTGTGTTCTTGGGCTCTAGGCTTTGCTAGATAATTGGAGAGTTGTTTCCTCCTCTCGAATTGAAGAAACTTATACCTTGTATTGTTTTCCTTGTTTGTGGATTGAATAGAAGAAGTTTTCCTTGTGTTTCTCTCCAATGTCCTGAAATTACAATTGTTTTTACTGTTTTATCTCTGAAATCAGAAACCTTCTTGCTGTTTTTACCGATTATTGCTAGATTTGCTTGCGAACTCAAGTATTTCCCTTAGGGTTACTTGAGAACACAAGTATTTCCTATCAGCTTCACGTGAGAAGATCAAAGCGATCCAATGCAGTTCACTCTTGGTATTAATAAGGTGCAGAAACCTATGGGCTGGCATTTCAAGCAAGCCATCAAACATGGATTAATAAGGTAACTGAAGCAGAATAAAGTTTAGAAGAGTAACATTTTCAAGATAGTGGTGGATAACAAGCAAATACATCTTTCTACATGTTGAGATTTATAACCAAATACAAACAACAAAACAGTAAAGAAATAATTGTTTGATACAATAACAGCGCAAACAATTACCAACAAATTTAGAAAATAGGCTTTACCCCTCTACATTATTAGAAAATAGGATCTATCCCATAACGCCAACTGGAATCATAAGTTGCTCATATGCACGAAAAGATATCTATGAATTTCAGCTCCAATGAAGGATTCAAAGAATGGAAGGAGTGAAAAGGCGGCCCATGGATATTCAAGAAAGATGTAGGAAAATCAGACTTTGAGTCCAAACAGGTTATCCTCTTTCCTTTTTTCATCATGTCCGACAGCTCTTATTGAAATGCAATGCTTTCTCAATTGTCCAAGTGGTAGAATTTGTGGAGCAAAGAAACAGTTTTTTGGGTCTATCATCATGGGTGTCCTTATTTGACCCTATAAGATTCTTGTCTGAAAAGAAGGATGATAATGAAAGAAGTCTAAATGCAAAGAGTTTTTTTTTTTTCATTTTGCCAAGCTCAAATGAGTGAACAAAAGCTTTTCATAAGTTAAGCTAAGGTTGATGGTGATGGAGATTGGTGAAAGGATCTTGAAGGGTGAAGATATTATTGAAGCTAGGTTTTATGTGGAGTTAAGCATTTTCGAAAAAGAGAGACAAGTTGAGAGTATTTTGTGAAGGTGTTGGGTATTTTAGGGTTAAATGTTTTTTTCTTTATTATTATTATTTTTTATTTTAGGGTTAAGTGTTGGGGTTGACCGAGAGACATTATTAGGGTTTTAGGTTTTACAACGGATTTAGAGGAAAACCCAATAGAAATATTGGACTAGGTTTTTGAATGTGGGTTGATGGGTGGCGAGATTAAGGTTTAGATGATGAGAAATTAAAAAGGGTTGTGGGGGACTTGCTAGACGTGGTTGGGTTGGGGTTTTGGTTAAGGCTGAGAGTGGGAGGGAGAGAGCTCAAATAGCACTAACATAGGTAAAAAACTCTTAAAGCCCAAAGAGGAGAGGTCAGACACTACGTCTTCACTCAATTGCTTACAGGCAAGAAATATTTCTTATTTATTCAATAAAGTACATGAGGTTATATTATCATCCCTAAGAGAGGTGGTGTTTGGTACATTCAAACAATTGCCCCCTGAGATTCTATGTTCTTTATGATAAACTTATGACAACATGTTGCTATGTACTATTAGTTTGTCGGGATTCCCAGTTATAAATTTCTCATAAGGTTATTTACAAGATCTATTTCTTCAGTTGAAACTCCGGTTAAGATTTCACCCAAAGAGAGCCTGGAATTTAAAGTACAGGCTTTGCTAGGGCCCATGAGTAATTCACATATCATGGGATTCCCTTGCTTTTATCTCCCCATTAGCAATGAAAATTCTCTTACTTCTTTAGCTCTTCCTATACTCTCTCTCAAAGAAAGCTCACTCACCATATAATCGGACTCGCCAACCCGATCCAAAAAATCCAAATTCGACTTGACCCGTTTAATAAACAAGTCATGTTCGGGTCCAGAATTCTGACCCATTTATTAAACGGGTCATATTCGGGTTGACCTGCCAACCTGACTTTGATCCGAAATGACCTATTTAAATTATTTTTTCTTAAATTTTTTTATTTGTATGGTATCAAATAAATGAATAAAAGATTATATATTGCTTTCATGCATCATCACATTGCACTACTTAAATGCATTTGCATATTAAAGTCATGATTAAAATCTATGAATTAAATTTTTTGATTCCTTAAGAATAGAGTCATCTTATATTGCATTCATAAAGCAATTGATTATATTTAGAATGTTAGCTGGCAGCTCACTCCAAACAAGCATAAGTTCAGATTGTACACATATTAACATCTCCTATTTATGAGGGGTTAATTGAAATCCAAATTCAAATAAGTCTAAATCTAATATTTTCCTACTTAGTAGATTGATAAACTCAAATTTTTAATCAAATCTTTACACATTTAAAAAGTTTAATCCTCACTTTAATCAACAACCTATTTCCTTTGGCTTAAAAGAGCATAAGAATCTCACTATGCATTAAACCAAGAAGAGAACAAAATAGCATTCCTAATCAAGAGTATTCTCAGGTTAATACCTAAGATGTAATTAACCGCAGAGGCTTGCACCCGTGAGAAACCAACACCCACATCAAATAAATCTCACTCGAGTTGATATATCGAATAGGAGAAATCTCGTGACTATCAAATTATATATATCATTATCCATCAAAATGTGCAGGCGAAAGCCGCTATTTTCCATGGATAATCATATGTATAATTCTATATGATCTTCCATTGATCTGCTTGCATAGAATGTAAAGGTCAACAACTGTTTTGTCCTATAGGATAATGTGATCTTACACTTGACATTCTAACCCCTACGAGCAGTTTTCATTTCAGAGACCCACACTCTGAAGTCAAGAAAATTTAAATATGAATAAGAAAAAATGTTGTGTTCTGCATTGCTCTAAAATAATTCATTGAATTATTAAGTTAAACGTGTATTCAAACAGCATACAACATACTTCCCTATAAAAGACAGGCAAATGGCTAACCTGTGTTGCTCTTTGCATTACATTTTGCTTCTTCAAAAAGGAATTCCTGCAATAATCATGAATATATTCAGTAGAATGTCATAAAACTCAACCAATGTGCATTGAACAACGTCTTAAATCACTTCTTCACCTTGACTTGATGGAGTTCAGTAGCTCTTCAGCTTTAAGTGATTCTTTGGCACGAGCTAAAGTCCAGAGAGACAATATGTCAAGCAACCATTCTACATGCCACATAGACTTCAAAAATAGCAAAAATAAGGACAGTTGAGTAAGAAATGAGCAATAAGTTTAAGATGCTAAGAGTAAAGTTAATATATATCTACAAGTTGGAGAAAAATGATTTTAACAGACCAAAATCAATTCAAGTTGGCAATAAATTGCAAAACATTCGTTAAGTTATCAAGATCAATCCCACTTCAAAACATGATAATGACAATTCTGGTATGGACATCCAAAGGAACTTGTTACAATAAAAAGGGCACAACCAGTGCACAAGGCTAGCATCAATTAATAGATCTAGGGAGAGGTTGAGCAAACTAACCTTGTTTTGCAAGGAATCATTTCCAAATTCAAAACATTTTCCATATTATAATGGGAAACCACCTATATCACCCCCACACACCTCAATACTCCAAACAATATTCCACCAAAACTAGAAAAAACTTATGAAACTCAAAGATGAGGCTAGGATATGAAATATCAAGCAATATGGATACAATGTGAAGTCTTCCAGAAAGCAGTAATGGATATGATTGGTAAAGATGAATCTTACACTGGATATTGTGAGGAAAATTAGAAGATTCTTTGAATTCAGAATATCAATTACAAGTCATCAATTCGATCATTTATGAATGTTGTTCATGGAGAAAAACATAAAACTCATACAAGAAAGGAAATTATTCTCCTAAATAAAATCCCATTAATAATATTCCTAAAAAAGATAGGTCCGCATGTTCCTAATACAGCTACACATCTAGTAATATATGAACTATATCATAGAAAATAAAAGGTGCAAACATGTTTTTCAATGCTCCCCTTCAAACAAGGTTGTTGAAACCTATGAGAATGCATGTGCCAATTGATTTCTATAGACACGTACAGTTAGAAATTAGACCACTGTCTTTATATATATATATTTGTCTATTTTAATATGCTTTGTTCTGTTATTTTGCAGAGTATTATATGCAATACTTATTATTGGCTTATTCTCATAATAAAATTTTATACGTTCAATATGATACAACTCTCACAATATTCATCTTTGCAATTGGAGCAAACATCCTTTTATATTCAACATCATATTTCCAAGTATACCCCTTAGTTATTAATCATGTCGTGTACCTCTCTACTAATCCATCTGCTCAATATTTTTTAGTGTAAACTCATTTGCATCCCATAGGTCTTTTTCCAGCAAGTAAACACCACTCCATATTTTGTCTATTTTTAGGGCTTTTATTTATATATTCATACTTGGTTTACAATTTTCATAAGATAAAGCCCTAGACAATTTAGTAGGAATGGCATGCTTTTTAGGCTTCTAGGAAAAGTCCTATGAGATTTTAAAAAGAAACTTTTAATTGACGCAATATGAGAAAGTTAGTTCACTTCCTAATGAAAATGGGAAGAAAATAATCCAAATGACTGTGATTCAGTTTGTAAAGGAGATTTAGTCTTTATTATAAGGGTTTAAAGGCAATTGCCCCCCCCCCCCCCTAAAAGTTTTAAAATATTATGATCTTTAGGCAATTGCCCCCTGTATAATTAAACACATTATGCAGAGGTGTTATTGTCCAGGGAATGATGAACCATATATAAAGAGAAATAGTAAATCAAAATTTATTCTGGGTGAGCTGCCCCCGGAAATCCCCGCAGAGGCGCTGCCCCTTGACCCCGTAACCTGACAGGGCAGGTCGAACCCCGCTAGGGGGCACTGCCCCCTTGGACCCCCGATATATCTGCCAACAATTACTTATAAATCCCCCCTCCTGAAAATTATAGCTGGTTCCGCCCCTGATTATTGAATAAGTTCTTGTAATCTGACCAAGAGTTAGTAGACAGCTTTGGAACAAGAACATCTAGCACAAGTGAGAGATTAATCTGAACATCTCTGAGAGCAAATATAATATTTAAAAAGCCATCTGTTGTGGGAAATTTTCTATTGCTGGTATAGTAAGTATATGTGTTCAATTTCTAGTTCCTGCAGCCATGACAAAGAGTTAACAAAGATTTTATTCAAGACTTCTAATCCAATGAAGACAAGAAACTTACCCAAATGTGCTAATTAATTAGCACCTAAAGGTTTCTGAGGATCCTTCAGTAGAGTTCTCAACTGATCATCGTATTAATAGAGATCATGTTGTTCAGTCATAATTGATTGTTTCACCTTCCTCTATTCTGACAGTTTTCATCGTTCCTTCACAACATTTCCTAATCTATTGCGTCGTCAGAGTTTCCTGCTAGATGGGAGTTTGGTTGATCAGTTTATCTTCATTCACCAATTGTTTTGTTGTAAAGCTGAGAATTTTGCACCCTCTTGTTGTAATGATTTGGTTAATTAGAGTCGTAGGCATACTAAATAGTCCTATCAACTTATGTTCGGGTTGGCCACCACAAACAGCATGAAAGCAAAACCACTTCTAACAACATAATTTATCTTATTATAATTTAAACAAACCAATATTTTTAATATAATAATATTCTCTCATCACATAACATTTCAAGACAATACCTGAAGTAGAAAAACTCAACTTTAAATATATAAGTTATGTTCTTATACATATCTCATTCTTTTGGACAATAGATTCAACGCACATATACCAATCAAACTTAGATTGATGTGAAACAACTAGGAGTTACCGTTAGAAATTAGAAAGACAATTGAATAAAGCTTTGCTCATAAAATTTACCACTAGCACATAAAAGAAGATTATGAATTTTAAGTTATCAACTTGCTTAGGCCAAAGATGTGCAATAGAGATTAACCAAACAATTCCATCAAAATTCAAGGCAAGAGTAAATGCTAAGTACACATAACATAATTCAACGTTTAACAATGAGAGGTTGACTTCGAAGGCCTTCTCACTCAACTACTTGTAGGCTTTAGCGGAGAAAGATGAACCATACGAAAAAGGATATTACCACTAGGAAGACATCGTTGACGGATCGGTAGCCGGTGGTGATGAGGATGGTGGGTGGCCGACGATGATCCAATCGTAGTCTTGGAATTGATTGTCTAGGACTTCTATGAGAGTGGGAAGGATGCGGTTCAAACAGTCTTCAACAGTGTCATCGAAGCCGAACCCGACGTCGAAGAACGGTGAGCGGGTGATGTGAATGTCGCCGTAGGTGTCGAGCACAAATCCGCTGTCAATCTCGGGATCCGCCATGCATTCTTGCCGGCGTTGAAAAAAAACACCAATAAGGAGAGAAGGAGATATGATGTGGTGAAGGAGAGCACTTGAGGTTTGAGAGGAAGGAAGAGGGAGAAGAGAGGGGCGGCGGGATCTCCAAGAGGGGAATTAGGTTTAGGCCAAGAGCAATAGATCTTTAATCCAAAAACCTGAGATTAATTTCAGGTTTTAAGTGGATTTGGAGGGAAATCCAAATTGAAATGAGTTTCAAAATTCAAATGAGGCTAAGGGAGTAATGGGCAATCAATGGGTAAGGGGGTGGACGGCGGGTTCAAGAGAGAGGGAGGATGGATTAATGCTAATCCTGAAATTAATTTCAGGATTTGAGGGGTTTTGGGGGGAAATTAATTTGAAATTTGAAAATCAAATTAATGAGAGAGAGGGGGAAATTAAAGTGGAATTAATGGGGAGGAGCCATAGGGCGGCCGACGGCTTGTAGAGGGGAAGAGGAGAGGGATTAAGGGGAATCAAGCTCTTTCCAAATAGGAACGAATAATTGGGGGAAATTAATGAGTCCTTCAATTAGGTTTCATATGAATTTTGAGTTTGAAAACTTTCCTTATTTAGATTTCGCAATAAGGAAAGTTTTCGAATTTCAAAATTTTGAATTTCAAAATTCGGTAACTCTTGCATTTAATGCTAGACCTCAATCAAGGATCCATTATGATGATTGACATCATCATCATGGTTTGAGGCAAGCATGTGGCCAGCGGCCAAAGGAGGAGGGAGATTTGCCATCGGGTTGGGGGTCTTGATGGAGCTTGGGGTTGAAGTGGATGAAGCTAGTGGGTGAAATGATGATGTGTGGGATACGGGAACGGAAGTGTGGTCGGCGGCTATGGGAAGAGCTAGGGCCGGAGGGTTAGGGAAAGAAAGAAGAGCGGGATGAAGGGGATAGACCACAAGTCACAGACTCTTTCAATGACTGGCAGGTATTGCTTTTGCCCTCACCTTGGGCTCTCGTTCTTCTCTCTAGTGCACCACAAGAAGAAGAAGAATAAGAAGATAACAATAACAAAATTTCATTCAAATATTCATTAATCCATTACAACATATGAGACCACTATATATAGGTATCCACTCATGAAAAGAAAAAAAAAGTACGAAATTGCCCTCTGGGCTACAATAACAAACAACTCCCCAAAGGGGTAAAAATGGAAAACAACAAATAACTAAATAACACATCATGAAATCTGAATCAAAAGTAGAGGCGCTGAATCGTGGCCTTAGATCTGCGATTTCTCCGTCGATAAACATGTCGGTAGCGTCTGTCGATGTCCTCATCATTTTCCCCAGGTGGGAGAAAACTCGACCCTGTCGAGTGAGTGTCCCTAGAGCTCTCATACCACTCTAGTAGGTCCGGATCTAGACTCTGCAGCTCCTCTCGGTCAACCCACGTATCCTCTGTCGCCGGGGTCCCTTTCCAGTGAACTAAGTACCTTCGACATCCACCTCCTTTCGTGGTAATAATCTCATCATCTTTCTCCGCATTGGGTAATTGAGGTAAATTTGGGAGTGGGGGTAGGCTTGGGATCTCACCAGGTGGGGTCGCACAAGGCTCATTAGTAAGCGGATTATTTGGGTTAAATTCTGGTCCCTCGAAGATTACTAAGTCTTCTATGTTAAATGTGGGATTAATGTTAAAACCTTGGGGAAGGTCCAACACGTAAGCATTACTATTTACCTTTGAAATTATCTTGAACGGTCTGGCGCTTCTCGCATGCAACTTCTTTGCGGATTCTGAAGGAAAACGTTTCGGACGGATTCGCACCATCATAAAGTCTCCAACCTCAAATTCTTTCTCTCTTCTTTTATGATCAGCAATAA